AAGAATGTGGACCAGGGCAATACTTTGTTTACAGCTTGTCCAAGGTCATTCATTATTAATACTATTAGTAATATCTTCGTTAAAGACTTTGATGGTGACAGCTCACACATGAGAGGTTGAGCTTTATTAGCTCCACCTTGCGGAAATTCCGGATACTATTATTTTAATTGCGGTATTATACGAGAATTTACGGTAACTCGCGGTAGACCGCGTAAAGCGCACCGCAAAATAATGCGGTATCGCCTGCGCATTTTGAATGGCTGCATCTGTATATACTATATATTTTCTGTTTTATGTTTCATATTAATTTAGTTTAATTTAATTAACAAAATTAGTTTTGTGTCAATCAATGGCAAAAAGTCCCAAATAACTACATAATGATTCTATATTGTAACAGTTAAATGTGAAAAAGTCCAAGGGGGAGTAAATACTTTTGATAGCCACTGTAGTTATTGTATAAAATTGATTTTTTTTAATGCCTTCTGCCTACAGTTTGAGAATGAATTATCTTTATTAATTGATTAATGAGAAACTTTTATCACTGAAAATCTAAATGGACCATATGCTCTGCTTGAATCTGTTAGTGCTGGTATTGTACGGCATGTATGGCATTGTACAAACGGTTCTCAAAACTGCTGCCATTACCCCCATGCCAAAAAAGCCTAACATGGCTTTCAACAATCTTAACAATTTTCGCCCCATCTCCAACTTACCCTTTCTTGTGCTGTCACACTTCAGTTACATAACCACCTCATGACAAACAACCTTTCGAACCCCTCCAATCTGGCTTCCGTCAACTTCACAGCACAGAAACTGCCCTGATCAAAGTCACTAACGATCTTCTAAAAGCTTCTGATTCTGGTTCTCTTTCTATACTCATCCTTCTTGATGTCAGTGCTGCTTTTGACACTGTTGACCATAACATCCTACTTTCTCGTCTTGAGACTGTGTTTGGAATTTCTGACACTGCTCCCAAATGGTTCAAATCTTACCTCACTGATCGCTGTCAATTTACAGGTCTGAAATTGGTCTTGTTAAGTCTGGTGTTCCTCAGAGCTCAATACTGGGCCCCTTGCTCTTCAGCATTTACATGTTTCCACTTGGTCAGCTTTTAAGATCACATGGCCTCAGCTTTCATTTCTACGCTGACGATACTCATCCATACCAAACCAAGGATGTGACTGTCTCTATTCTATCTAATTGCATCCTGACATAAATATTTGAATGACTCAAAACTTCCTTCATCTTAACTGCGACAAGACTGAAGTCTTGCTTATTGGCACCCCCCATCAACTTTGTAAAGCCAGTCCTGTAACCCTATCTGTAGATGGTTCTGTACTTGAGCTTCCATCTAAATTGAAAAACCTTGGGGTTATATTCGATTCTGGCTTAACATTCGACCCACATGTACAGTATACTGTCAAAACATCTTTGAATAAAAATATCGCTAGACTACGCCCTATGCTATCACTAACTGTGGCTGAAAAGCTGATCAACACATTTGTGTTCTCTCGAATTGACTACTGTAATGCTCTACTCCCTGGGGTATCTAAATCTACTTTGAACAAACTACAGTATGTCCAAAACTCAGTAGCCAGAATCCTGACCAGGTCTAGTGCAAGTGATCCCATTACTCCTATCCTGGAGTCCTTGCACTGACTTCCGGTCAAATTCCGTGTAGACTTTAAAATCCTCATGCTCACCTATAAGGCTCTACATGGCTTGGCACCTCAGTACCTGTCTGAACTATTATTGCCCTACTCCCCACCTCGCAACCTTCGCTCTTCTAATTCTGCTCTCCTTACTGTCCCCCAAGCCCGTCTATATTGTATGGGTGACAGGGCCTTCTCCTGTTATGCCCCCAAGCTCTGGAACTTTCTCCCCAAGGATATCAGAGAGTCACATTCCCTAAACTCCTTCAAATCCAGACTCAAAACCCTCTTCTTCAGAAAAGCCTTTACTTAACTGGTTCCCTTCTTCACCCCTCTGCTTTTCTTAGTACCACCATCCACGGTCTCCTCTATATATTGTCATTTTGTTTTATCTTGTGTATTCTTTTTATTCATTGTTGTCATCATTCTGTAAAGCGCTTTGAGAAGCCACCTTTAAAGGAGGTACATAAAATAAAGTTTTTTATTATTTATCATTTCCTAACAGTTACGAGTTCTGTCTCCTAGTCATGTTGCCATACATATGATCCTATTTCTAGTTATCAATGATATTTTTAAACAAGCTATGTAATGTCTGATGTGTATACTTTAAAATGTTTGTGATTCTGTAAAAGGTAGATTTTTTTCTGTTCTTCCTTCTGTTTTGATACATAGCTGTGTGCTTAATTCATATTGTGAAGCTTAGTTACCTGTAATCTCTGTAACTGCTAGAAACCAACCTTTTTGTTTCATTTTATCTTAGTACAAGACTGTTCATTGTTAATTATCTTATAACAAATAGACATTAATATGGAGAGCAATCTGTTAATGACTAAACGTTTCTGAAATATTTACAGTGAATTATTATAGTAATCCTTATCTTTTCTCTGCAATTTAATATGTAATGATGAGCAATTATTGCAAAATGATGTTATGACTTTGCTTTTGTAATGCTCTGTATATATGAAAGTGTTAATTCCATTACAACTGTGCCATATGGATGTTACTGCATGATAGCAGTAACTCTTGGAGCACATTTCCTGGCAAAATTAACTGCAACCAAGAATTCCATATCCAATACAGTGCTTTAATGCTGACTGCACAGTCTGTATCTGGAGGTCTTTACTAATTAATACTTTAATACCTAGGTTTTTATTAACAGTCTACTTCTTCTTTTTTTGCTTCTGTATAGATTTTATAGTGCATTTTGGTGTACTTGTTGGTATCATAAGTACCTTAATTTTGTGCCACTGTAATCACTTTATTTAATCATACTGTTTCTGCTTTTGAGAATTATGCAGTTCTATGCTTGATCTTGTAATAGTTTGATGTGCAGTATCACATCTTCCATAATTGGTAAACTTATTTTCCTAGTATAAATCGCAGTGCAATTTTCTGATTCATCCACAGCTTTAAGATCTTTTACCTTTAATCCAAACTCTTGTGTGTATATTTATATAGCGTTTGATATTTATATATTTGGAGCAAGTCCATGTTATATGAAATGGATCAGCATTTTACAAGTGAACTGAAAATCTTAAAACTTTCTTCCTTCTTTTTGTAGTTTATTGCTCAGGAATTCAGCTATCCAGCTCTCCATAAACAGCCTAAAGTCAGTGAGGCTCAAGTAGCAGCAGGTAAACAAGTGAAGGGGTACAGAACACGGGGATATACTGTTGAAATGTGCCCTTTTATCTTAAACATATAATCTCCATATTAAACTTTTTTTAATTTTACAATTACAATGGTTCTAAAGTACCTATATATTTTTAACTGAAGTAAATCCATCGCATTTTTAAATGATGCGAGTAAATCTCCATTAACTGTCTCCAGCTGAGGAGAAATTAATGTTATTATATTTTTCAGACTGCCTAGTGTTTAATTTGCCCCATAGTTCACAAAAATAAGAGTTTGGACACGGGAAGCCTGCTGGAAGTAATACATTTCCTCGAGTGCAGCATAGAAATGTACGTGAGGAAATGTACCTTCAGTATTGGTATATGAGCATAAGAAAGACTACAAATTCAGCCCATTTAACCCTTTGGGGCGTAAATAGCTGATTGATCCAATGATGATTTTGAATGCATGTTTCAGGTCCCCTTCTAGTCTTCTCATTTTAGAAAAATGTATTTAGATCTTCTCTGGTCTGATTTCAGAGCAGCAGTATTTTTCTATGACATGATAATCACAGGGTATATATATACACAGGACCTATATGTATGTATTACTACTGTTTCTTATTCAAAGGACTATAACAAATTCATTAAGCATGACCTATCTTTTCCATATCTATGTTGACCATTTCCTAGATATTATTTCCTTACATATAAGTCACACTTAGTAGTCTAGTATAACTTTGTTCAGCTACAGACCTTTATCATTTCACTGCATGCGGCATGTTATTGCGGTTTGCTTTAGTGAACGTCTGAGTGAAATATGAATTTAGTACATCAGTACATATTAATTTAGTACGTCACTTTTGTTTCACTGTCTAGAAGTTTTTGTTTCAGCTATAATTTACTTCATAATTAGTGTTTTTTGCTGCTGCAGAAATAACAATTTTAGCTTCTATGTAATATTCCTTTTAGTTTCTGTCTTGACTTTTTCCTTTAACTGCATCCTGTTTTTTAATCATTTTAGAAAGCTATTTGTTTTCCTTTGTTTTACCGAATTGATTTTTTTTAATCAGTTGGGATACAGTCTGTTGCTTTTGAATTCTATTTTTTTGTTATAAAAGCACAAAATAATAATGACCTGTACATAAAACATTCTGATTTGACACATTTACTGTTTCAATCAAATCGAATGGTCTGCCTTTTTCTGCTGACTTTAGATGTGTTTTCTTGTTGCAGTAATCTTCAACCGGTCTTTTAAGCTGAAGTTTTACTTCAGTTTTAATGAATATTTTTATTTTATTTTACCCATAGTAAAGAGGCCTACTCAGGGACAGGCATCAGCTTGTGCAGCCCCAGCTCAAAAAATCACCAAACCTGCTGCCAAGTATGGAGTGCCTTTAACTGTGAGAAAGTGTGGAGATACAGCACAAAAGTCTGCAGAGAGGAAGCCACTAGTAAAACATAAACAGGTGGGAGAAAAAAGCTTTGGAAGAAACTACATTATTGTTCAATATTTAATTTGATCTGTTCTGTAAGGGTTCTGGTGTGGTCAGAATAAAGATAAAGACCAGCCCCCGAATTGGCAAATTGCATTCTGCAATTCTGCAATTTAGAGTCAACATAAAATTAATTAGATGAGTATATGTTATAGGCCTCTGAAAAGATTCTACAGAGTATTGCATGTAATTAAGCTGTGGTAATGGTTTGTTGGAAGTGAAATTAAAATGAAAAATGAAAAATGTTGTTTGAAGTCAAGGGAAAAATACAAATAAAGATAAATTATTCAAAACACTTATAAAAGGGTGTCACATTTACCTGGTTTTGAAACATGTGTGAAACATGTTTTGTGGAAAAGTGAAAAAAGTCATGGGGACTTTCTCCAAAGACTCATCCCATTAGAATATAAGGAAAATTGTAAACACAAGGAGGCCATTCAGATTATCTGCTTTAGCACTTTTGTATAATACCGATATATACTTGTTACTACCATCTAGTATACATAACAGCAAAATCAGTTGCATACTTAGACTAGTAAATTGACATGAAGATGTAAATGAATGTATTTAAATATTTATCTCATATTTTCTGTGATTTTTAGCATATAAAACTGTTTAAGTGGTAAAATACTTAAAACATTGCATACTTAATTCCCTTTCTTTGCCTTGGAGTAGGGTGATAAAGATATTTAGTAATCTAACATAAGAATTTAAGGGCTTTTATAAACAAATGCATTTGCAATATGAAGCCATTGCAGTGTGCTTTGCATGGTGATTGGTTTTCTACACAGAGGTATCTAGAGTTGAACTGTGAATACTGTCAGCAGGGATAGCATCTTGAGTCCAAGATACCTGGGCTTGAGACCCAGTTAGCTAACATACAGTGCAGTCCGTAAATATTTTGACAGTGACATAAATTTTGTTGTTTTGGCTCTGTACTCCAGCACATTGGATTTGAAATGAATCAGTGACTATGAGGTTAAAGTGCAGAATGTCAGCTTTAATGCGAGGTATCACAGTCCTTTTTCTACATATTCCTCCCATTTTAGGGGTCCAAAAGTAATTGGACAATTGGCTGCTCAGTTGTTTCTTGGCCAGCTGTGTGTTGCTTCATTAGTTCATGCACAAGAGAGCTAACAAAAGGTCTAGAGTTGATTCTAGATGTGGCGTTTGGATCTGGAGTCTGTTGCTGTTCTCTCAACATGAGGACCAAAAAAGTGTTAATGCCATTATAGTGGGCCATCATGAGGCTGAAAACTCAGAATAAATCAGAGACATAACCAAAACATTAGGTGTGTTGAAATCAACTGTTTGGTACATTGTTAAGAAGCGAGAACGCACTGGTGAGCTTAGCAATAGCAAATGACCTGGTAGACCATGGAAGACCACAGTAGTGGATGACCAAAGAATACTTTCAATTGTAAAGAAACATCCCTTTTTTGACTGTTGAACAGATCGGGGACACTCTCTAGGATGTAGGCACAGATATGTCAAAGACTACCATAAAGAGAAGAATACACCAGCATAATCTCAGAGGGTTCACCACAAGCTGCAAACCACTGGTAAGAAAGGCCAGGTTACAGTTTGCTAAAAAGTACATAAAAAAGCCTCTAGAGTTCTGAGACAAAGCCTGATGGATGAAGATTAACCTGTACCAGAGTGATGGAAAGAGAAAAGTATGGAGACAAAAAAGAAACTGCTCATGATCCAAAGCAAACCACCTTATCTGTGAAACATGGTGAAGGTAGTGTCATGGCTTGGGCATGTATGGCTGCCAGTGGAACTGGCTCACTTGTCTTTATTGATGATGTGACTGCAGACGGCAGCAGCAGGATGAATTCTGAAGTGTACAGCAGCATCTTATCTGCTCAGATCCAACCAAATGCTTCAAAACTCATTGGACAGCGCTTTACCTTGCAGCAGGAGAGTGACCCCAAACATACTGCTTAAGCAACTATGGAGTTTTTCAGGACCAAAAAGTGAAATGTTTTTGAGTGGCCAAGTCAATCACCCAACCTGAATCCCATTGAGCATGCATTTCACTTACTGAAGACAAGACTGAAAGCAAAAAGTCCCCGAAACAAGCAGGAACTGAAAATGGCTGAATTACAGGCCTGGCAGAGCATCACCAGGAAAGATACCCAATGTCTGGTGATGTCTATGGGTCGCAGACTTCAAGCAGTCATCAATTGCAAAGGATTTGCAAACATACCAAATTTTATTTAAGATTGTTAATGTGTCCAATTACTTTTGGTCCCATTAAATGGCAGGACTGTATGAAAAGGGCTGTGGTTCCTATATGGTTCACCCAATATAGACGTAAATACCCTCGAATTAAAGCTGACATTCTGCACTTTAACCTCATAGCCATTGTTTTATTTTAAATCCAATATGCTGGAGTACAGAGCCAAAACAGCAAAAATTGTCTGTCCAAATATGTATGGACTGCACTGTATACTACAACTAAATTAGATGATCTAGTTGCCTTGCATATCAGAGAGATTCTGTACACTTTTCTAGCAGTGGAGCTTTTTACAGGTGCACGGAAGGGTGTGCAAACTAAATGAATGACATCTCAGGAGCTTGCCATATCCTACTTATTCCAGGACTTAGTGGAGCTTGATCCAAGCATAAACAGCCTGGAAGAAAAGGGGAGAATTGATGGGCTATAGATGGGTCCACTCCATCCAGTAAACACTTGGATTGAGCTTGGACTAGAGAATACCAATGTCTTGGGAATGTGTATATGCATGTTGAGGAATATTTAAACTGGGGTGCGAGACATACTATATAAAATGCTATAGAACACAATGCAGATAGGAAATGTACTGTATGATGAAATCGGGAAGTTATGCAGCAAAAGTGACATTATATTGCAGGGAAATTCCAAATTTCCACACACACATTTGCATATTCTGATATATAATAAAGAAGCTAAAACTGAGATGGTTTAAATGACTAGTGATTTCTTTTTAACACAGGTTGTAAAAGTACATCCTAGGGCAGATTAAGTCAATAACAGCGTCTTTTAAAACACCCAAGATATATTGAAGGGAACTGACATGATGGAACCACTGAGGAATAGTGGTCATAATTTTTTTTCATGTATACTTTAAAACGCAGAAATGTGAGTAAAATAAAGATGTATTTTTGTAGAAAAACAGAATATGAAGGAATAAGGCAGAATGTTCAAGCAGCAGACAAAAAAACAGATGCGTACAGAATCAATAAAAGTAGGCATTTCAAAAACCTAATGTTAAATGCTTAAAAACAAAGTCCAATCAAATCGCCTAATGGAGACAGAAAATAAATCTCTCTCTCTCATCCTAGCGTTAATCGCGCATCAGCAGGGTCTGCTTGTCGGCACGCCTGTCTCCATTTGGTGGTTTGAACCAAATCTTTTAACGGACGTTGCCATTAAATGCGACCAGGCATACTCCAACCGGCGCGTCGTGCCACCTGCCGTCGGAGTGGGGAGATTGTACCCAGTTCTTAGAGGGGGGATTATTAGGAGGCATAGGAAATTTGTCCAGGACGCCGGGGTTACACCCCTACTCTTTTCGAGAAAGGCCCTGGGATTTTTAATGACCACAGAGAGTCAGGACCTCGGTTTTACGTCTCATCCGAAAGATGGCGCTTGTTTACAGTATAGTGTCCCCATCACTATACTGGGGCATTAGGACCCACATGGACCGCAGGGTGAGCGCCCCCTACTGGTCTCACACACCTCTTCCAGCAGCAACCTTAGTTGTCCAGAAAAGCGCTATATAAGTGTAAGCAATTATTATTATTACTTGTTCCTTTGCATACTAAATTGATGTTTCACACAGCTGTTCGAAAAATGTCAGTAACATCTTGTTTTGTTACACAAACACTACAGTTTAAGCAGTGGTGGGTAATTTTAGCATAATTCTTACTAAGGTTCTAGGGGGGTGTTAGGATTGTTAAATAAATCACTGGTGCTTGATGATATTTTCCCTGTAATTCTGTAAGACTTCTGTAAGGTCTGTTATTTTTAGATTCCTATCTATAATATTTCAACAATCACTTAGAATGGGAACAGTAACCAAAAACTGGAAACTCATAAATTTAAAGGGTGGCATTGGAACCAGGAAACTACAGGACCAGTAGTAGTAATGTTATGGAACATGATAGAGCTAAATTTGAAGAAATCTTAGGAAACAAGGACTTTTTTTCTAACAGCTAAAATGGGGTTATAGTGAGACTATCTTGTCTATCTTGCTAGAAATGTTTGAACAAACAATGAGGACATTAGAGTGTCCAGAAAAGTGCTATATACTGTAAGTATAAGCATTTATTATTATTATTTGCTGATGATATTAACATAGGGGGAGTGGCTAACAAATACAGCAGCAAGCGAGTTTAAAAAATGGCTTGGGCTAACACTTGGCAAATGAAATACAAGAGTGATCCACACTGGTGGTAAATCTAAGGAAGTGTAGATTCATATTACGGTCACATCGGGAGCTGAACAAGGAGGGCTGGTTGCGAGTCACGCATGTACCCTGAGGACCACCTATTCAACTAGAGTAACAACTATAGTTTTCATAATGTAACATAAAAGGTAACCAAAGGTGGTATTCACACATTACAATTAGGTAGTATTATGAAAATCACCCAGAAAAGAGGCAAATCTAATTACTAAATTAATAATACAGTGATAGACTGCAATAACTAGGATGCTATTGAAAGCAACAGATGAACTGTTATATAATATGCAGTTATATTTTGGCTTTGAATTAAAAAACTGTTAAGACAGCCCAATATTGAATATATGAATAACTGCTTCTAAGTTACATATTTTATTACGATCAGCAAAAATATTTAATTCATTTTTATTCTTTTACTCTTTATTTTTTCAAAAACTAGAGGGGATAGCTCACTCATTCCTGTACTATATTACCCTTGTTGGGTGTGTTCTTTTCAGTCTAATGCCATTTCATATCTTGTCCAGGCTCAACCAGTCCCAGCGAGGAGAGTAAGTCGTGCTGGAGAAGAGAGGGTAAAGTACGAGGTATAAAGACACAAAACTGCATCACTATTAATCCTACTCCTAACAACATAATTAACATGTGAACTCCCATCACTCTTTCTTAATTTCTTATCTAGCTACCTCAGTCTCTGCTTTTGTCCTTATCTGCAACCTGAGCACAAGTATGCTTGTTGTGCTAACATGTAGTTTAATTTCAGTGTTTCTCCTTTTATTTTCAAACTACAGGAATTTGTCAGGAAGAAAAGATTGGAGTTCATGGAAAAAGATAGAAAACAAAGGGAGCAAGTGAGTCCACCAGTTTTATTTAAACTTCACCAGAATCCTATTGAACTTACATTTGGAGCTACAGTTTTCATAAGTGTATGTTTCTAACAGAATAATCCATCTCAAATAGGCATTAAATAAGGTAATGAGCTGTTGTCAAGTTATTAAGAAACTACACATCAATATCTCGATGTACTTGATTCAAATGATAAAATGATACAGAAGGACTTCTCTTTTTGAAAAACATGAAAGATATGTCAGCTTTCTTATGTCAGCTTCTTAGTTATATAGCCACACAATATTACCACACACGTTGTTGTTATTATTATTGTTATTATATCAGTATCTTGGTAAGTTAATTACTCATTAAAAGATCCTCCGAAGTCAATTTCACCTTTAGTGCATTGCACTCAATATAAAAAATAACGGTTTTAAAGTTTTATTCCTAAAGTTGCACAGTAGATACAGTATGAATGAGGTATCATCTATATACATGTGTAAGTACAGCGTACTGAGTGTTTTAAAATTCTGTATGTGAGACATAGCCTATTAGCAAAATTAAAAAGGCTCCAAATGTTTTATAAAGCATGATTTGTGTACAACTTGTTTTATTGCATTGTACTTTTTAAAATTTGCAGATCTATCTCCTCAAGGCAGGACAGATGAAACGATTTGAGAGAGAAAAGGTAAATGTGTTTCTTTGAAACAGAATACTTAGTGTTTCAAATTCTATTCTATTGTCCATTCTACTGACTATGAAATGTATACTGAGTTTATAAAGTCCTTAATGGAGACTGATGGAAAAACTTAATTTGAAACTGACAAAAACATTTATGCTCTCTTACCAGCTCAATCGTATAAATAGAGCTCGAGAGCAAGGCTGGAAGCATGTGCTCAGCTCCAGCGGAGGTGGAGGAAGTCCTGAGCATAAGGTAGGATGTGAAAGCCTCCTCCTCTTCATACAGATGCAGGATTCTGGAGAAATATGATTTGGCAGCAACCATTGTCCACTGAACAAAGTTCTTTAACAGTACATAAAAAAAACTCTTTCAGTTGTTTTGGTAACTGCTGAACTGTATTTTATGTGATTGTCAGGCTTGTTCTGTTTCAGTATTTTCTTAGAGCTGTATTACCTTAAGAAAAATAATTTAACGTTTTATTTGTCAGCGGATCACTTGAAACAAAAAAAGGATTTAATGAGTAGCTGTCAATGTGGTGAGTTTAGAATGTAAAAGAGTACATTACAGGTGATCATTATACAGATCTAGCCATTCAGAATGCTCAAGGGATACTGCAATAGTTTGCAGTTGAGCAGCTGCATGAAACAGCGGTAGACTGCAGGAAATGGCAGTGTTTTAGAAATTTTCAGTAATGTGACTACAGTTCTTGATAAAACCTCCAGGGGGAGATGTGAAAGCTTAACGGGGCATGCGGAACATTTGGGCTGTTAACATGAAACACCTGATTTCAAATCCTGGTCAGTGCTGAGGGTCAATTAGAATTTAAGCTATACACTGTTTAGACTTTTATTAATTTTATACCATTATACTGTAGCTTGTGAACATGATGCGTCTTTTTCAGGTTAACATTTACATAGAGAAAATCCAAAGATACATTTTGATAGCAGAAAAAAAAACAATACTGTATGTACAGTAATCTAATGTACACACAGTAGATGGTAGTGATAGCTAAATATGAAAACATGCACAACAGTCTTCTACCCTCTTCATAAATATTTTATGCATCAAAGTCTTAAACTTGGTAACTTACAGTGGGTTCTGGTTTTAACGTGCTTGTGGGTTCTGGTTTTAACATTATAAAGTTTATATACTGTACTTCATAAGTTAAAACATGTTATCATTTTCTAAGAATACGTAGTAAGAACACCACTTGGTGTTATTGCAAAAAAAAAGTTGTAGTTGTACTGAGTTAATACCACTTGACAATTATATTAATATGGAATCGTGTATCTAAGCAGCTAAAATATCACAAGTGGACATTTTGCCATACATTTTGTTGTAACAGACAAATAAGATATAATATGGATCCCGAGATGAAGTTTAAACAGCTGAGTTTATTGCATGCAAGGAACAGTAAGTACTGTTCTGTTCGAAATACAAATGCAAAGTACTGTTCGAAATACAGGTACAAAACTTCCAGTTTATTTAGCACTTTTCAGGCGCTTCTGCCGTAGTTCATTTCCATGGAAATAGGGAGAGGTCACGGTGTTCGGACAGCACCCAGGCTTTGACCACTCTTAATGGTCAGTTTTAGGTTTCCTTTGTTTGGGGGGGGTGTCTCTAGCTGGCATCTGGAATCCTTATCAGTTATCCCCCTTTCCAGCCATAACTCTAAGCCTGGAATGTCTTGTGTCGCAAGAAGTCCAGTCCTTGTGCAGAAAGGAATCAGTTAACCTCTTGTTCACATCTTATATCTTTCTTCAGTTTCTTTTTAAAAATACTTTTATTGTCCTTGTAGTGGTAGTGGACAAAGCACTGTAATGTAGCATGCTGCACACAGGTGGTTCAAAGTGTGATCAGAGCATTACTTTCAGTTTATTATATAGCAAATACATAAAAATAGTCCACTATTACAGCTCGTTGTTGTATGAAATGCATGTACCTTTACATAATTGAAGTGTTTAAAATGTTTAATTAAAAAGTAAAAAAAAAATTACAGCTTACACAAAGATTCTCAGCTGATCGTGAGGAAGATAACGCGTTTTTCATGCATAAAAAGTGTTTTAACTATGTAATCCCGGTTTTTATGGATTTAAAGTCATGCAATGTCTAATTTAGACAGGTACATGTTATTGTTTCTTTGATTTTCTTTAAAATTGAAAGAATCAGTTGCTTAACTTGCCATACAATATTATGTTACATTTTTATGTTTTTGAGAGTCTTTTGAACATTTCAATCGATGCATAAAAATGTAGCCTAATGCCTTATCGCGTTATGAGTTCGCTTACACCTGGGACCCGCTTTATTCAAACTAAGGTTTCTAAAAATGCAACCAGGTACTGTACAAGATATTGCTTAAACAAAAGCTGTGAAGATTTTCACAAAATCACAATATTTAAAATGCCCGTGGTTTGAAGGCTCTGTCATTTGTTGGCGGGGTTATTGACATCTGAAGCATCCTGTCTCAAAAATAGGAGTTTTGATATGAAAGCAAAGGTCGTGAAAACAGTGACAAATGACCTTGAACAAAATACAAACAGTTTGAAATTGTTATTAATAGTAAATTAATATTGTTAAGAGTGATCAGATACGTTATTATAGTTCAGTTTCAGTGGTGTTTTTAATATCGCTTTGGTATTCTCAATTATAATTGTAATTTATAGGACTTCGTTTTAAGACATGTTGTTAAGGCTGGTCTTGAATTGCCCCATTGGGATGCAGTATTTTTTAATTGAATTGAATTCAACCGGTTGAATTGTTTTTTACTCCCACTGTTTACAGTATTCACATTTGCTCATTCATAGTTTCAATTTATTTATTGAACACACTGTGATAAATAAAAATAAAATGTCAATATAATGTACATTATATTTACTACTTTGTTTAAAAAAAAAATTGTTGCAAGAAAAACGAGTGCCTTCACTGGCCGCCGGGTTCAAAGGCACTCTCCCATGCAATCATTTCGAGAGTGTGCTGAAACAGACAAGTTAAAATGTTTCTAACATAATCATGAGCGAATGGGTCAAAGAAAGTTGAATACGGTAATACTTTGAGCTATATATTACATTTAGTTCCTTAAATTAATATGGTTATTAATTTCTTTAGGTATGTGATTCCATATTATACTTTTTAGAATCCGCTTAATAGGGAATATTTTTTTTTTTACTGCAATAACGGGTGCAAGTATTCGTAGAAAAGGTTAAAAAAATGTAGTTTTTTATAAAGTATATAAACTTAATATTGTCAGAACGTGCACGTCAAATCTTTTCCAAAAAGTGAAAGACTTAAATGCATAAAATGTTTATAAAGAAAGTGGGATACTGTTGTGTGTTTTTTATTTAAACTACCCCTACCAGCCATATACAGTTTGAATAATACATTTAAATTCCTAAATTAATATAGTTTATGACATTCAGAGACGTTATGCCCCTGTTAGTTTTATGCTAAGCTACCAAACTGTCCCTTTAGTTGTTAATTTCCATATTAAGCGGCCAGCCAGTCACGTACTTCTGTAGTCCGCAGATGATTTGCCAGGGTACGGGGTTTTACCTTGCATTTTGAATGGGTACATTTGTATGAAGCCACCAGTAATCGCATACTTAAATTTTACCAAGAGCTGAAACTGCCAAGGCAGGAGGAGTTCCCATCACATCATGTCACATCACATGCCCATTATTGCTATTTCAACACTGACCTTTAGAGCATGTCTTGCTCCAGACTTGCCTTTGATCCACAGTAGTCACCTAGCTGACCAACAAAAGACCAGAAAAAAAAAAACCTTTTTGCTAAGACAGATGACAGACAGCTGCTGTCCAAAATCCTTTCCCCTTACAGGAGAGAATCTGACATCTCTTCACAAGGTCACGGATCCACTTTCTATTCACTAATCTCTAGGAACAGTATAGACCATCACCAACACACTGCTCAGTGGGCAATCTGTCTGCTGGCAAGGCTGCGTGGTGACAGCCTTAGGGTTCCATTGTGGCAGGTGCCCAAAAGGCAGAGAAGCCTTCAGGCATGGAAGATGTAGCCATCTCCTGCTAGATGTTGCCCAGCAAGTATCATTCAGATGCAACTGATTGCCTTTCAAGATCAGAAAGAGCCACACTACCTCAAAGTATAAGAAATTATACAATTTTAGAGTTAAAAATATGGGTTGAGCACTTCGCCTTGAGAAGAAATCTTATATAATCAGTTCATACAAATCGGAGTTCTAGCTAATGAAGGCTAATCCCACTGACAGAATTCATTAAAATGATTCACCCAGTGTTGTATCTAAGACTATTTTTGCCGGAGAAATTAACCCAAACTTTCCAAACCTGATCTCAAATTCCTCAACATTGCTGCAAGTACAGTTTGTTTCATCAAGAATAGTAAAGATGCATTAAAGTATATAATTGTATGAGATGCCCATAGCTGCCAAACCTTTCCTGCCGAGACTAAATCAAACAGAAAAACAAAAAATAAGGTTTTCCGATCAGCCCCCTGGGGAGTTGCTAATACAATCGAATGCTGGCATATTGTGAATATATTTTGCTTTCATTTTGATTTTATTTTGCTTAAATCTTGATTGTCCTATTTATTTTGCAAATGAAAAGTTGTAGATTAAGTACCATATTGCTAAGTAATACAGTATATTGCATTATACAAATTTAATTAATAGATTTAACTGAAACCCATTAGCTTGAAAGGCCTGTAATTTTCTTAAAATAGGATTGCCTAAATGGTAGAAGACTAGAAATGCTTTTCAATTAGTTTTTTTTAAATATTTATTATTTAAAATAAATTATTTTAGGAAGAAGTAGTTCAGGTGTGTAGCTGCATCAGCATGCGTAGGCTGCAAAGGCACAAGTAATAGGTTTATTCCATGCTGAAAAGAGATGAAAGAAAATGCAATGTTTCGGCTGTGAAACCTTCTGAAGAAAGCTCCACGTCTGAAACGTTGTTTTCTTTTTTCTCTTTTCAGCATGGAATAAACCTGTTACTTGTTCCTTTATTTTCAGAATACCTGTAAGCTTTTAAAATCTTGAATAAATGAAAATAACTCAGTGCTTAAAAATCCTACTGGTATTTCCTTCTGCTTCTGATGGATAACAAATTGAGTAAATGGCATTACCCGTTCACATGATCAATCACAACATAGCCTTGTACTGTAAATATTGTATTTTTGGTAGAATATTTTTGTTTTTTTCCCTTCTTATGGAAGGTTGCATTCTTTGGAGGTGGTGGGATCCAAGCATCGGCATCAAACAGGGGGCATTATGAACACTACCAGATGCAAAAACAAAAACCTCAGAAAGAAGCTATAAAAGCTGGGGGAGATGTTTCTGTCAGGTAGCCAATTTACTACCATTTCAACCAGTTATTCCTGTCTATAGTCAACCTGCTTGTGAATGAAATGTGTTCTTGTTTGAAAGGGGTGTTCTGGCAGCTGCAGGACCCATCTTTCCCCATGGTGCAGCTGAACCTCCTAATCTCCCTGATCCTGATGCAGTGAAAAGGGAGCTGAAAAGATTGGAATCTGTCTCAAAGCAAGCCAACGTCAGCAAGTCAGTATCTGAATACACCTTATCAGAGACACCTCTGGTCAGCTCTAAATTTTTAGTTTTTTTTTCTAATTCAGAACTTGGGTAAATGTTCAATATTTTTTTTGCATGGAATAATAAGCCTTTTTTTGTTTGTCTGAAGTTTCATTTACTCAGGAGGAAGATGGAAGCATACTGATTTGAATGATGCAGTAAATGAAGTTCATGAAGTATATATACTTCATGTCATATCCATATGCTAACAAGTTATTTTCAAGCAATCAATTAAAATTAAAATCTATGAACATTAGAAGGTGACTGCCATTTTGGGTTCTCACGGTTGCCTGAAGGGATACATTTTTTTTTTCTTCCAGTCATGTCTCTTTTTTTTTTACATGACAAAAAGTTATCACTCCCGTTTCTTAAAATGTTAACTCACTACTTTGGTAATAACTTGATTTTAAAACATTCATATTAATTTTAATTGTTATTGTCCAGTTATTTCTGAGTTCTTGAACATAACGTCTTCAGATTATTATTCAGATTATATTATTACAATATAATAATGTTGAAGGATAAATCACATATAAACATAACAATTGTTGTTTTGTGAGACTCATTTTTTTTTACAAAACCAAAGACACCATAAGTGTAATTTGTCACTGCTTAATTCTTTTCACTTCCCAAAATAAGACACCACACTTAATCCTACTGTTGTGCCTTCAAATCTTTGCAGACAAAGAGGACAAGTGGCAGCAGAAAGGGCTAAGCAGGTGGAAGAATTCTGGCAAAGGAAAAGGGAGGCCATGCTAAACAAGGCTCGTGCTGAAGGACAACTGGTATGGACTGTTCATACTTGCCCTTTTTAGGATCTTGGGAACAATTCTAGCCATTAGGAGCAGACTTTCTTTAGCAGTTTTTGTTTAGAATTGAACTTAAAAAATGAATCCCAGTGCACCATAAGCAGTATGACTTTTATTAGAACTGTAATTAACTAACTGAAGAACCCAGAAGTTAACAATTTTAATTTTCAGATAAGTTATTCTTAAAGTGTGTTTTTGGCAGTTCTTTGAATCTGAACTATACAGTACATGAATTGCAGACAAAAACTGAAATAAATTTGGCCATGACAGCATCAGAAATTGCTTTAGGAAAATGTGATGCACTTTTGTCTGAAGAAGAATTCAAAATAGACAATACCTAGAGACTATAGACAAAAGGAAAGAAAACACAATGGATATACCTAAAGAATAGGCACTGAGGCATCACTGTGACTAAAATAATGCTGAAGAATGCTGTTCTGAGCTGCAAATTAGACTTCATTCTCAGCCATATGTAGTTAGTTGTCTCTGTCATGGAACAAGTAATAGGTTTATTCCATGCTGAAAAAAAGAAGAAAGAGAACACGTCATATGGCTGACTAATACTGTAGGTCAGTGGTTCTCAAACTTTTTGGACCAAGTACCACCCCTAATCCAACCAAAGCATCCAAGTACCACCTACAAGTCATGATCTCATAGGAACCCCAGAAATTCTCAATGACCAACATGAGCGCGCGTGCACACACATTCACACATACATATAATAAATATTATAATAATAAACTTTATTTGATATAGCGCCTTTAAAGGTGGCTTCTCAAAGTGTTTTACAGAAAAAAAAAACATTAACAACAACTGATAAAAAAGCACCATTTCAGTGAGAGGGGTGAGCCTGTTTAGTTGAGCAAAGCAGATGTGAATTAATTTTTCGAGCCTTGATACAATTCACAACCGAGTCTAACAGATATTAAATCGTCAGGCATTTTCTTGACGGCAAAGGTCTCGCGGTGGATGTTGTAATGCGTACATTAATTTCTGGAGCAACCTCTCTAATTCGTGCAACTACACCGTTATGTCAGCTTGTCATTGCTCTAGCACCGTACAAACTCAGATGCATTTTATCCAGTCAAGGCCATTCTCTTCGATAAATTCATTCAGAAGCTGAAATATGTGCTCTCCTGTAGTTCCTGTTGGTAGCGGTTTACAGACCAGAAAGTTTTCATGGTACATGCCCTCAAACTCATATCTAACGTGAACGAGCAAATTGGCCAAATCGACTACAGACTCATCTAATTGCAGTGAAAAACATCTGCTCATCTTAACGCGCTCTATCAGTGTACTTTTGATATAATCCTTAATTTCAATAATTCTATGAATGACTGTGTCTTTCAGGGGCAGGGGGCAGCAGGTCGAGCTGTTTAGCAGCTTTTTCTCTACACATAATACGTGTCAGCTCTTTTGCCAACGATAAATAAGGTTCTTCAAAAATAGTGTAACCCGCTTTAACAATACGCAAGCTTGCATTTTTCTGCGTTTCCCTTTTTATTTCCGTATTTATTTAAAGTTTTTATTTCATGCGCATGGGAGAGAAACACAGAGACGCTGTGTATTTTTCTCAAATTAGAACAGTTCTTAAATATTTTTCTGTTATCATGCTTTCGTGTGCTCACAAGATTACGTGCGTTCGTAGCACGTATTTCTATGCATTCCTGTGTTAACAACGTTGGCATAGTTCCCAAATCACGCACATTCTCCTTTCTCCCTATTTGCTGGAGATACAGTAGCTTTTTTAAAATACAATTGGTCACTTGCATCTGTAGCACGCATTCCTACAGAGTGGTATAGAATTACAGAGTATCTCTCGTGTCCACTGAAGTATTAGCGCGCACTGTATCGTAGTACGTAGGCTGCGTATTCAACACGTATTAAAATACGGAATATGAAAACCCGTCCCGATTTTTCTGCGCACACGACACAGTTCCAGGGTCATTTGGCGTACCACTTGGCGGCACTCCACGTACCACTGCCGGTACGTGTACCATAGTTTGAGAACCACTGCTGTAGGTCATCCAGTAAGAACTGGCATCCAGAGCAGGCTGTGTTCTCATGCTGTTCAATCAGGCATCTCCAGACAAACTAGACTTCAGCCAATTTCCTACTGAAGGCCAGGGCACCTGTTTACCTCCAGCCCATTTTTTAGAGGAAAAGGATATATGTTTTTTTTTTCTCTCGGAGAAAAAGAAACTTGTGCAGGCTGTTTCTTCTGTGTTCATTATTTTGTTGTGTCTAGGAACACAGAGATTACTGAACATCTTAAATTAACTAATGGTAAAACATGTCTTGTGCAGCAGAGCAAAAATTATGTAAGCAAACCTTCAATATATCTCACTAATCACCTGCTTAATCTTGTATTAGGATTTTCTTCTCTTCTCTCATACTCCCAACAGCTATTTCAGGAGAAGACAGCCTGAGTTAACACTCATTTCTCTGTGACATTTGCTTTTTTAGATGCTTTGAAACTGTGCTTCTCAACCTTAAAAATTCCTGGGGAGCCCCAGTTCTTGAGGTTTTCTTGCTTTTCATTTATGTACTAAAATCAAAATGCCAGTTATTTTGGCCACTGAAGTAATTGTTTTACAGTGAAAATCAAAGAATGGTGTAATTTATGGTTGGTGACTTCTACAGTCACCATAAAGAAAACATTTTCATTGTGCTTTTTTATAGTTTTTATTTTAACAAAAAAACATAAATGTTCATTTGTCCCTTGCAAGAAAATAAAATGTCAGTGAAACAAAGAAAAGCAATTCATTCAAAGCAAAGCAATTCAAGATATTAAAAAATGAATTGATAAATTCTTATGAATTTAAAGGAAAAACAACAGTTGCTGGTATAGGTTTTAAAACAATATTTTAAGTCCAGCATTCGTTCTGAAATGTGGTGCATTAAATGGTAAACAGGGTGCCCTGCAAAACCTGGCAGCTATCTATGGAAGCAGGCCAAAGTCTGCAGGAGGTGGGAAAGCACAAAACAAGGAAGAAGAGGTAGGACCCCACTCCCCTCCAGCCTGTCAGATGTTTTATAACATTTTTCTTATGCATGACGCATAAAATAGAGAAACGTTGCACCATAAAATAAATAGCTTTCCACTGTGCCACAAAAGAAATCCAACTTTACCTGTCCTGCATGAATGTTTGGTCATGTGTATGTGCAATCTCACTTGAATCTTGGACATACTGTAACAGCTTTTGCTCCTGCCCCTAACAAAGTTGTTGTTGATTTTGTTGCATTTAAAACAAATAGGAAGCTGTGAGCATTGACTAACCTCTGTACATGTTTTTTAGTTAAACCAAGTTCAGTTTACAGCTGCTTTTTCAGCTATTTATGCTTATCTATTATAACAGTAATAAAGGTGAATTTTCATATTTTGCAACCATCTAAGTAGTAACCTAAATATTGTTAAATGTTTAAAAAGTAGTTTTTTATTTAACTTGCAGGCATACCTAACTTATACTTAGTTTTGTCTTAACGGTCTTAATGATGTTCAGGCACCGATATTTTAGTAATTGTTTTTATGTTTTTTTTTTCTTTCCACCAGGAATATTTGGCTAGGTTGCGACAAATACGGCTTCAAAATTTCAATGAGCGGCAACAGATTAAAGCCCGACTTCGTGGAGAGAAGGTATGTGGGATGGCTAGTGTGACCATGTTTATATAATCTATTAGTTGTTGTTATTATTATCACAGTTGCAATAATTGAGTAAATCATTATATTTTATTAGGTCTTTTCAAGATTTGAGTTTTCCAATTCATATATTACTCTAAGAGGGTGGTTGGTAGAGACAAGATGTCGATTCTCATCAGAACCACATTTCCCAGAAAGCAATGAGGAATAACCTGAGTCAGTCACCTGACCAGGAGTTGACAGGAAGGATAGACTTCCAGGGGGCTGTCAATACCTGCTGTTTAGGAAGAAGGCAGAGGCTATGTTATGCAATGCAACAGATTGAGGGCCACAACAGCAGAGTGCAACAAGACTATAAATACGCTGGGCAAGCGTTAGAGGTCAAATTCTTCCACGAGGAAGATACCTTTAAAGCGGAGAAGATGGCACCGAAACTTTTAAGCGGCTCTCTCTTTAAAGCCCTGGCAAAATACAAAGACGGTATGTACAGTTATAATCCATACTGAATTAAAAACTACACATCCCAGTTAACATGGTGGTGCTTGTGATCCTTGCGTTTAACCAACGAAACAGGGTGAAAAATCAGTCACATGATTCTGGGGCTAAATTTCGAAAGCTTAACCTATCAGCAACAAAGTGAAATTTACACAATAGGCTACCTCAGACTGTCAGCTACACGACTGTGTATGTCGCTTAAGCCACTCCTATTTGGCTTTTTAGTTATGGAGGCGGGAAGACTGCCCCCCCCGGGTGCCTGGCTTGTCACCATCTTGAACCGTTCTCTGTCCGAATCACAGTAGGGAGAGACACGTCCGACAAAAAGTTAATCAATACAAATATATTTTTGTGGTAAGAGGGAGAAAAACATCAGTATTTTCTGCTAGTATATAGTGTACAATTTATGCATTAAGCAATGTAGGAATGCTCACTTTTTCTGCAACGGAAATACACAGAGAAAATAAATCCTTTCTGACATCTCAAATCGGTTTCAATCAAGGTCTCCAAAACGAACAAGAAAAAGAGCATTTTCAGATAGCAATTACACTGTGTTTATGAAGAATAAGTGATTAGATTTATGAGCAAACTTATTTCTTTGAAACGGTTAAATTTCAGCTGCAAAAGATTGCACCAGAGAAACAGAAAAAAGCCATGACTAGACATAGTGCAGGAGAGGGATGCAGGAACTCTTGCTTAGATATACAAAAAAGTCACAGAAAGGTGTGTTACAAATGAACATGCAAACATGAAATAGATTTGGCAGAGTGAGGAATCAGAAAATTAGCATGCATAAAAAAACTGCACTTCTGTCGGAGAGCCTTATATGAATTAATAGCAAACATGATTTCACGGAGGGCTTCTCAGATAGCAAGTCAGTTTTTTGCAACACATAAAATACATTTTTCCAAGAAAGTTTAGCCTTCGTCACTAATGAAACCACATAATAAAAACAAATATAGAAATCTAAAAAAAAAATTATTCAATGTTGGTAGCAGGGTGAGCTGTCAGGTTGAGCTAAGTGTATATTTTGTCACAAAGTTGTTGCAAGATGTTGAACAGTGAAAATGGGTGTTTAGAAATGACTCATTTCAAGAAGAAAATTTTCAGAATAATTATAAATCTAGCAGGATAGAGAAAGCACAGAAAATAGGCAGATTAGCATTAGATTGATCAGATTAGTATGAAAAGCCATTTAGCAAAGAGGGTGTGAGAAGAGTGACAAACTAATATACTTTAGATATATTTTTTTTGGAACCAGAGAAAATCTGATCATGTTTCTCAGTTTCAATAATAAAAAACTATTTTATATAGCACCTTTAAAAGTAGCATCTCAAAGCAATACAGTAGGTGTGAAAACAGTTATAAAGATTACACAGATTACAAAGTAAATACATATAAGAAAGACGAGCAGTTAGAAGTGCTACCAAAATTACAAAATGAAGCAGATACAGACACTAAGTCTTCTGAAAAGAGGTTTTGTGTTAGATTTAAATGCACTCAGGGTAGGTGACTCTGATATCACTGGGGATACAAATTCAGAGCTCTGGCGTGCAGCTAGAGAAGGTCCTGTTACCACTGAATGTAGATGTTCTCGAGGACAGCTAGAAGACCAGAGTCAGACAAACAAAGGTGGGGAGTAGACAGATAATAAGCCAGATGGGTACTGAATGAGGATGAGGATTTAAAGTTAACTCAAAACCTGATTGTAAGCCAGTGAAAGGACTTGAAGACAGGAAAAATTAGTAGTTGTACAATTGTATTTGAAAAGAAATTTCCTTTGGTTTATACAATAGGAGATTCCAATACATTTTATACAACATGTCTACTATTTTAATTAATCTTTCTCTTGCATTTTTTAGTATGACACAGAAGGTTCAGATAGCCAGGAATCTAGTGATGAAGCAGAACTAAGGAGAAAGAAAATTGAAGCCCTCAAGGTTTGTAATTCACTGTAATAGCAAAAATAACCCAGAAACTAAAACTGGTAACTGATTTTAGTTTCAGATAGTTTTATGTTTCAGTTTATTGTACATGTAAATCTTACATTATTGATTAAGAGTTGAGGATGTTTCAAAGTGACCAATTCTGGTATTGGACACTAAACTGCAGGCCCAAGCAAAAGCTCGAGCAGCAGTTCTGAAAGAGCAGCTGGAAAAGAAGAGAAGAGAAGCTTATGAAAGAGAGAAGAAAGCCTGGGAGGATCACGTAAGATGATTAAATACACTTTTAAACAGGTGATAGTCCAATCTTAGTTCTCATATGTTACAACTGAGGTGACAGAATCTGAGGCAATTTTTTAAATAGTAAATTGAGTTGTTAAAGACATGAATTTTATTGTTTTAGCCCCTGTATTTTTTTATTGCATTCTGAGGTTTCTTTTTATGATGACCTATGTTAATAAGTATGTATTATACTTAAAATGAATGTTTAGAAGGCAGGACAATAACCACTTACAGTATACAACTTAACAGCGGTGTACACTGCCTTTTTTGACTGATTTTTGTGTGTGCATTTTCACCAAGCGTAGAATTAGCTTAGTTCCTTTATTTGATAATGGGTAAAACTATTCTCTTTGTCCAATGATTAGCAATACAATTGGAAGGGAAAAAATGACAATGACCCATACTAATAAGTGACTGCTGACTGTTGTTAACTTGGTAAAGATAAAAGAATATGTAGTTAGATGTCAGTTTATTTCACTAGCACTGAGTGCCGTTGTGAGATACTGTGTCTGTCTGTTTGGTCAGCTTGCAGCTCGGGGAGTGAAGGTGGCACCTGCTGTGGTAGCCCCAGTGATGGGAGCAAGCTCCGGCCTGCAGGACCCCACCACTAAAGCACAGCCTCCGCCGAGACTTGACATGCCAGCCATATCTATGACTGCTGCTTTGAAGGATGTTAGTGCTGTGAGTCTCTTTAACATATCAATCTATGTAAATGTTATGACACAAAAGGCAAAAATGGGTCAAGTAAGGAAAGGCTATATTATGAGTATGTGTTGGAGAGCCCATCATGTGTTTCCTAATAGTACAGAAAATCTGTAAAGGTATACATGCAGCCACTCAGAATGTGGGTGGGGTATTTCTTCCAAAACAAAATCACAGAATTATGTGTGTTACAAAAGAACATGTGAACCTGAAGCAGATTTGGCAGAGTTAGGGGCTTGAATAATCAGGTGGATTTCTGGTAGGGAGACTATGAAGGTTTGATAGGATAGAGAGTCAGAAAGTTAGCACACAGTTCAGTAAGAGAGCCCTTATATGAATTAATAGCAAACATGGCTTAATGGAAGGCTTCTCAAACAGTTGGGCATTCAGGTAGATTGCCAGGGGAAAGCATTTAGAAATATATTTTGTTAAAGCAAGTCATTTTTTGCCACACATAAAATAGTTACACAGTGCCTTTAGTTCCATCCATTTTCTAATCTCTTTATACTTTACAGAGTAGCAGGAGTCTATCCCAGCAAGAAACTGTTGCAAGGCAGAATACACCCTGGACATAATGTCAGTCCATCACAGGGCAGACAAACAGACACAAACACACACTTAAACCAGGGTCAGTATTCCCCTAAGCCATTTAGCCTATCAGTATGTTTTGGACTGCAAGGGGAAATTAGATTACTTGGAGAAAACCCACATGAACCCAGAGAGTACATGCAAACTCCACACATACACTACCTCAGGAATTGAACTTAGGGCCTCAACACAGCAAGATAGCAAAACTTATCACTGACCCACCATTAAAAATGGATGGATATCTTGATCAGCTTTCTAGTTCAAAGATTTCCCCATGCATAATTTAATTTTGAAAGCCTCCAGACATGGCAAAAATGGCACGCTAACCACGGTGCCATTCAGTTCCTTAGTTAATATATTTAATTTTTATAAACAGTTAAGATTATTATTAATTGTTGATTTTACCCAATTTTTTCTTTATTAATTTTGTATTTTACTTATATTTTGATAGTCAGATTTAATGTACATTTGAACAATGAAAAATGAAAAAAGCAACAATTTATTAGTGCTTATTTTAATATTGATTACTAATAGTTTATGTTCACACCTGACTTTCTCATTTAGATGTACAGATGCAGCCATTCAAAATGCAAGGTACAACCTCGTACCGCGTGATATTATGTACAGTTCACCGTGTTGCACCACAGTACGTGATTGGCTGGCCAAAATGACTGACAGGGGCAATCGAGGTGCATTGGTTCTTAGTTAAACGATTTAATCATTTAATCCCTTTACTGTGCATGTTTTTGTCCGCTTAATATTGAATATTTAAATGGAATTTTACAACTAAAGGGAAATTTTAGTTACTGAGCATAAAAAGAAGAAGGGTGTAACGCATCTGAAGGTCATAAACAATATTAATTTAGGAATTTATTATACAAACTATATATGGCTGGTATTGGTAGTTTAAATATAAAATACCAGTATTACATTTATCCTTAAACATTTTACACATCAAAGTCTTACATTATTTGGTTATGGTTATTTCGGAAATGTTTTTACGTGCTCCTTCTGACCATATTACTGTACGTTTATATGCCTTATGAAAAGTGATCGTTCTAACCTTTTCTGCGAATACGCTCGTTATCTTTTGGTTACATACAGTGGTTATTTTGGAAAAGCTTTTATGTTCTCCTTCTGACTGTATTAAGTTTATATACTTCATAAAAAGTTATACTGTTTTAACCTTTCCTATGAATATTTGCATTCATTATCACAGTATTTTTTAGAATTTGATTAATAGGGAATATAATATGGAATCGCATATCTAAGTAAATAAATAACTATATAATTATATTCATATAGCACAAATTAGCACAGTAGTACACTTTCTTTGTAAATGTCTGCATCAGTTTAACTCATTCACCCGTGATTACGTGTGTGGTGTAATGGCTTACTCGTATGCCTTGCATGCTGGAAGTCGGGGGTTCAAACCCAGCTCTCACCATGATTTTTCTTTTAACAAATAAACAAAGTTCAAAGTTCTTTGAAAATTAAAATAGCAAATTTTATGGACACTATATTGACATTTCTAGAATTTGATTAATATGGAATTCTGTATCTAAATAAATTAATAACGATATAATTATATTCATATATTGTAGCTCAAATCCTGCTAAACTAAAAATCAGACGCAAGAGTATTATTGGACAATGTTGTGAGGCTCTGGTGGAATTTCTCCGCCAAGTTATAAAAGAGACACATTATGTATCACCTCTTTTTACACTTTTGGGCTCACGTGGGTTTGTGCCCTACACCCTGTGGGACCGCTGTGTACATACGTTCACAATGCGAGAAATACTGCTCAATATAAGTTCAGGCGAACAACCTGCATATGACCATTGGAACGCAGAAAGGCACTGAAATAAAGTCCAGCAACTCTGTTTGGGGATTTAATATTGTTAATGACATCAATAACCAGATTGTTGTCAGCTGTCGTCAGGAGGAATCTTCAGCAAAATGTGCTCCGAGATGGTTCCTGCAGTAAAAGTGAAGAAAATTACCATTGCTGTCAATAAGATCTTTTATAAAAATTATACCTTTTTACATCATTAGATTCCTTGCAAAGGGTCTCCCAGTTATTTGGAATGTTTGAGTTAAATCAAAGGATTTGTTGCTGTTGGAACTTCCGGGGTTTTAAATTGAAACTCTAACCAGCTTTGCATTGCCTCTTCTAGGAGTCCTAACATACTTAGTGACAGTTATTTTCTTATCTTTTTCAAATGAACTGGCTGTAATTGCAAAAAGGCAAATAAACCCTTTTAAAAAACTGGATGATAAGATCTCAATAACTTACTAGAACAACCATAGTTTAGGTTGCTTTAAGTACATAATTTAAGGCCCTTACGTTAATTTTAGTCCTCATTTTGATTGTACTCATTTTATGGCTGAGTTAGTTTTATTTTGTCTTTGCAGATAAAATTAAATATTTTTTGCTCATACAAGTTAAAAAAAAGCCTCAGGTGGAGATGAGGGACACATTACAAGATATATAAACTGGGGAATTATTAGTGAATTAAGGTTATTTTACCATAAAGTGTTAATTTTATACTTTTCCATGGTTTTAATGTTTTGTCAATTTTACTTAATTTACAATCAAAATTTACTTTGGTAAGTTTGGTATTTGTTCTGGAATAGAATGTCCAACATGGACACTGGTCCATTTGACCATTTTATTTTCAGATTGCACTGTAGTGAGAATTATGATTTTGCTAAGGGACCAATTAGCAAAATAGTACATTTCTCATAATTATGTCTGAGACCTGACAAATGTGAAAAGCTATTGAGGTCCACAGTTAAAGCTAATAGTCTGGAAAACAGAGGTTTAATCAAAAAATTGTATCAGCATGCATAGCTACTTTTAAGTTGAGATTGTTTATTCCAAGACCTTCTATTTGCTCATTTTTATTGCCAATATTTCTGTTACAATTATAAACGGATAAGGAGAGGGAGGGCATCCTTGTTTGACCCCTCTTAGTACTAGAAGGTTCTTAGAGATACGAATTATTTAAGGTTCCACATGTTGGTTTATTGTACATTATCTTTATCCATTTTCTGATGGATTCCCCAAAATTAAAGTACTGTAGACATTAAAATATATAATCAAGACATGCTTTATCTAATGCCTTCTCAAAATCTGCTATAAAGTTCAATCGTGGAGTATTTGAATTGTTAAAATTATCTATTATCTCTAAAATTTTCCTCGTTTTCCCCAATATATCATCCCTGTAAAAGTCCAGATTGATCCTGATAATGTATAATGTTATGCAGCACTTTTTAAAAACAATTTGCAATAAACTTTGCTAAACGTTTTGCGTCATAACACTGTAAGGTTAAGGGTCTCCAGTGCTTTAAGTATGTAGGGTCTTTATATTGCCCTTTTACATTCTATTTCAGTAATAGTGATGTTAATCTTTCTGACTGTGTGTCTGTAAATCCGCCCCCAAGTGGCTTTTCAATTAATTTATAAAAGGTCTTAGAAAACTCTATTGGAATACCATCTATACTTGGTGCCTTATTCTGCTTAAAGGACCAAACTGCTTGGGATAGTTCCTCTTTAGTAAGTAAGTTAGTTTTAAATCATTTTTATCAGGAAAAACAGCATACATTCCTTTCACTCTCAAGAGATATAGGCAGTTGTTGAAAGGAAAAGGTCTCAGAGAAATATCTTTCCTCTTCTCGCAAGATTTCAAGTGCCTCAGTCAGAACTTCATTACTTATTAGCTGTAAGTTTTGATATATTTTTTGATTGAGGATTTAAAAATAACTTAGTGCATTTCTCACCTTTTTCCATCCATCTAGCTTTAATAAAAAAACATAATTTGATTTTTCCTCGTTATAATTTTCTAGCTCCTTTTTCTTATATTCTATTTTTTCCAATATATCACCAGGAACTACTTTGCAATTATCATATAATTTCAATTGTTCTATTTCGTGGATAAGTTGTTCTTCTTTTGCAAGTGTTTGCTTTCTCTTTCAAGAACTGTATTTAATAGTGTGCTCCCTAAGAGCACTTTTAAAAGTATCCCATACTATATGGGGATCAGCTATACCTATATTATGTTAAAAAATTCACTGATAAATGTATGTATCAGTGATAAATACATATAGATAAAGGTTTTATCTTGCAGCAATAACTGATTACATTTCTAATATCCATGCCCTCATGGATATTCACCAGTTGTTAGATTATGCAGTCCAACAAAGTGATGGTCTGACCCCAAAGATTCAGCAGTTATTGCTTTTCAACTTTTGATATCAATTAAAATTATATGAGGCTATAGTCAATTCTATTGGCAATATAGTCAATTCTATTATACTTGGTTTGCTCTATGCCGAGTATATCTAGTTTGTTTAGGATTTTTTAATCTCCATATATCTATAATATTTAAAATAGCATTCAAAACCTTTGGATGATAATTGCCAATGTATTTTTTCTAACGGTCTACTATAGATAGTATTTAAAACTCTATTGAAATCGCCTAAAATAATAATATAATCATTATTTATTAAGATCATCTAAGTTTGGCGCATCTAAATGTATTAGATTAATGCTCTTTAAATTTGATGTCATATCTAATATAATCTACCTTGTAAAACTGTGACTTGCATTTACCGTAAAGTTTTTATTATCCCTAAATAAGATCAAAGCACCCTTAGAATTACAAGTTCCATGTGAAAAGTATATAGTTCCACCCCATTCCTTTCTCCACTGATTTTCATCCTCTAGCTTTGAGTGTTTCTTAGAGACAATAAATATTATACTCCTTGTCCTTTAACCATGTAAAAACTTCCCATATTTTCTTACTGTCTGCTAGCCCATTACAATTAAAACTTACTATATTTAATTTGCTTATATCACGTAGTTGAAAATCCTATTTCAACAAATGCTTAATAATGATTTTTAATATAATTCCAAGAGAAGGATAGAAAAAAACATTTATGCAGTTATTACCCCAAAGCAGTTAATTCTATCTCTGAGCATCTGAATTTTAATATACAAGTTCCCCCCTCCCTAGCATCCTCACCTATCCCCAGCTCCCCCTTAAACATCCTGGTTTGAAAACTCAAACTCAATTACTCACAGTCCCTTTCTTTCCTTGTAATATTTCACAAATTAACTGGTTAACAGTATAGTGATGAATATTTTCGTGTAATGCATTTGAAGTTTATACAGGGCCAGGAACTCACAACTACATTTATCGCTTTCAAGTGAAGTTGACCAGTAGAGCAACCTGTTATTCCCAGCAGGTGCGATTTACTGTCTGCCTCTTCTAGCTTCAAACGTAAGCTCCGGGTAAGTGAGACTTAGCGGTGGGGGTACCAGGAGTGTCAGGTTGTGTGGAGGTGGGTGTGTCTTTGCCGGTTGGGGGTGGGTGTTGTGTTCTGGTTTGTGTGCCTTTCCGGGATTGGGGTGGGGGTTGTGTGTTGCTGTGTTGTGTCCTGGATCTCAGGGCTCTTCTGTTGCAGTCAGGGCTGCAGTGTGTTTCCTCAGCTGTTCTTTGAGAGTCTTGCCTCTCCTCTTTGCGAGCTTCTGCTCCTCTCTCAGCTCAGCTACTTTAGACTGCAACTTTCTGTTGTCCTGCTGCAACTGTTCTATTTTTGTGCCCTGGGCTGTTGATTGGAGGTTTTGCATTAATTCTTGTATTTGCTAACCTCCCCCATTTCTCTAGGTCAGCCTGTCTTTCTTGTACCATTGTGTTACGTGTTGATGGACAGGGCAATGTCCCCTGCATTACTGTCGCCCGCTAGGGAGATTTGCCTGCCTTTGCTGATGTCTCTTTTTGTGATGTTTGTATATGTCTTGCACAAAGGTGTGTGCCAGGCATATAGATACTCAGTAAAGAAGAGCAAGTTGGTTTGAATGGTTTTCAAGATTACAAGCATTTTCTCCTTTTAAAATGTCCTGGTCTGAGCACTTTTAGTTTCCTCAGGATACTGGAGTACTGTGCTGAGGGGGCTGGGCTGACACAGTGGAATTGTTTCTGCCCTGTATTCATCTTTCCTTCTTTTGAATGCAATTAGCCCAGGTGATAAGTGGAAACAAACAGCCTGGCTAAGGCTTTTCAAATACCATTAGCCCACTCTTTGCTTGGGAAATTAGTTGTTTAACTTCGGCTTTTTGACTTCGGTGGGCCCAACTGGTATTTTTGTTTTGAAATATATACTCAACACACAGTTTTTAGTCTCAGTAACTTTCTTCAGACTTGTTTTTTTACTTGAAACAGTTCTATTTTAGAGACCTCTTTAAAAATGGAAAAAAATAACAGGGCTTACCAATTGTTTTGTGCTGGTTGCTGAGCTTTTTGGCTTCTCTTGTTATTGCTTGTATTCTTTTCCTTTCCTTCTTCTTCCACTTTATTTTCCTTTTTCTCCCATCTTCTTTTTATCAGTATTTTGTCTTTTTCATTCCTTCTTCTGTAGTTTGGTCCTCTTGGTCTCTTGCAGTTTCTCCTCAGTTCCTTTATCTTCAGGTGTTACTGTTTTTGGTTGGTCTTTAGTTTGCTTTGTTGATTTACTCTGGTAATGTTTATTTTTTCATTTTTTTGTTAGTTATTTTTCAGTTGCTGATGTTGCATTACTCCTAAACTATTAGTCCAGTTCCAGAAAAAAATAAAATTCCAAAGAAATTAGGAGCTCATCTTCTCTGCTTCTTTTCTCTCTATAAAAACTATAAAAACTAGTGTTTTTAATAAAGTAAGCCATTTGATGACTGATTGCCTTATGTTTAAGTGCAACAAATAATGAAACGGACAGTAGACTGAAAATTCAGCCCCATCCCCCAAGCAAAACTGTATGTGTTCTACATAACAAACACAGCGGGATGTAACACCCCCAACCTTTGTAACATAATGTTTTTTAAAGAAGTTCAAGTAGGGTGCAGAGTTGCATGCTTTGGCCGCAATGGAATATGTACAGGTTAATTCCACGATGAAAAGAAAAGTAGACAAGACGCTGCATCTTCTCTATAACTCATCAGTTTGCAGAAAAATTCCCTCAGAGCCACAACATTCTCCATGCCATTCTTGTATCTAATTTCCAGGGAGTAACCCTGTAATGTAAGGGAACAGTGCATCAGTCCTTGATTGTGGTTATATAGTAAATATGATGCCTGGTGGAATTCCAGCACTCACTTTTCTGTAATCTGTATAGAACCATGTTGTCCCATCACGTTTTGGTACCATTAAGAGAACTCAGAGATATGGCAGCCAACAGCCATATCACTCTGCAACTCACAACTGGCAGCCCACTGAAGCTCAGCAGGTGGGAGCCTGGTCAGTACCTGGATGGGCGACCTCCTGGGAAAAAAGGTTGCTGCTGGAAGAGGTGTTAGTGGGGCCAGCAGGGGGTGCTCACCCTCGGACCATGTGGGTCCTAATGCCCCAGTATAGTGACGGGGACACTATACTGTAAACAGGCGCCGTCCTTCGGATGAGACGTAAAACCAAGGTCCTGACTCTCTGTGGTCATTAAAAATCCCAGGGCGTTTCTTGAAAAGCGTAGGGGTGTTACCCCGGTGTCCTGGCCAAATTTCCCATTGGCCCTTACCAGTCGTGGCCTCCTAATAATCATTGGTGGTGGTGGAGGGGAGTCCTCATTACCTGTAAAGCGTTTTGAGTGGAGTGTCCAGAAAAGCGCTATATAAGTGTAAGCAATTATTATTAATTATTTTTATTATTAACTCCAGAAAATTATTGGTTGATTGAACTAAACCATGCTCCGCCAAATAATCCACAGTGCCTCCTATTGCAACACCTCTAGTTTAACAGGATTTACGTGATAAGCACATTGTTTAATTGGGGTGGCATTACTGATGTCTTTATCACTGTATGACAATAGTTGAGTCTGTGTTTCTGATAATAAAAGAGAGTGCCTTCTAATAAGTTTAACTATGTCTTCTTTTTCAGCTAAATGAGGCGAATAGAAAGTCAAATCAGTCCGCATCTCAGAGTTAAATAAGCTAGCGCTTTGGTCGAACATATTTTGCATAACAAGGCTGCATTTAGACTGTGTACATAAGTGAACAACAGAGTGAGTACCTAGCTTACTTAAAGGTGTAACACCTTTTAAGTAAGTTTCAACTTATTAATAAGCTGCCTGAATTCCTTAATCACAAAACATTCACTTACAATAATTCTTCCAGATTTACTCATGCTGGATCCAGTTTTTCCTGAAACAAGTCTTTGGACTGAAGTACTGTACATTATATGGTACTGTGCAGTAATCAATTGCAGTATGATATAAATGGTACATAAATAAACAGTATGATACCATATGATACCATATTAAAGCCACTACAGTACAGTATTTGTGAAATATGTTTATAATCAAAATGTAAAGTTAAATTGTGTCCTGATGGCTTGTTGCTGAAATTTGCATTAAAACAAAATATAGATTATCTCATTCCAGATGTAAACCTGAAAGAAGCATATTGCATTCACAACAAGCTCTACAGTATAATAAACCTTTTTATACCTTTTAAACCATAGTTTTTTCCCGGTGGTCTCCTATTCAGGTACTGACCAGGGTCACACCTGTTTAGCTTCTGTGGGTTGCCAGTTGTGAGCTGCAGGGTTATATGGCTGCTGGCTATTAGTAAAACTAAACAGTTTACAACTTAAATTCTATCATTGGGAAAAAGATTTTTTCAAAGGGCTCAGCATTTACCGGGATTCGAAACCAGGCGTTTTCTGGGAACAGCCCAAATGCTTCCTCACACCACGTTAAGCATTCACTGCTCCACCTTGCGGTTTTACAAAAGAGTGCAGTCTAACAACAGAATATTTTTTAAAAAGGGAAGCATGCTGTGGTAAGTTGTGGTGTGCATGGCACAATGTGCTACATTATCCGGCGTGCATTCTGTATGGCTGGATCTGTAATTTTATGTTCTGATTAGTTTTGTAAATGTAATAGCTTGTCTATTGTTTTGTTTTGACTGGTGTCCTGTCCAAGGGGTACCTCGCCTTGGCCTGTTGCCTGCCAGGATAGGCTCAATAGTGTTTTATTTAAATGGTTACATCATTGTGATACTTTAGAATGAGCTGTTTAAAACTAAAACAGTACTTTAAGGGAAAAAAAAACCCATCCGCTTTCCAGGTTTACTCTATGTAATGGAGGTTTTACAGTATAGCAGAAATAACCATCTTGATCTTTCTGTAGGGCAACACCTCAGTATACCATGTCTATATTTTGTCTGCTTCGATGTATCTCACTTAGAATGTTTTCATCTTTAGGAGGATCTTCCATCTGCTGTACAAGTATTGAAAAACCCAGATTCTGCAGTCATTCAGGTAGGTTTACTTTTTGTTAGCACAAGTGTGGTTAATCATATGTGGTAACCTCATCATTAATTCCTAAAATATGCTTAAAAAATCTCCAGAGCAGTATATACCTTTGTGTACTTAAAATATTGAGGATAGTCAGAAAAACAGGATAACTGAAGCAATCTTTTTGACCTTAGTGTATTTCTCAGTTGATTTTCCGATTACCTATAGAGCCTTTTAAAGTATGTTTTGTTTCTGGTTGCATGGTACATAAGAATGATATAATAATTCGGAAAGGTCTGTTTTTGCATTTGTCATTCAGTTTTCATCATAATTCTGTTCAAAACCAGACTAATAAAATGTCATATGCAAAGTCACACCAACATGCTGGAGTTTTGCTTACTCACTAATTTCAGATACTGGGCTAGTTTTCTCATTCTAGAGAAAGACTGACCTTGAGGCATGACCTAAGGGGCTTAAAATATGCAAAATATTTTCCTTTCCTTAACAAGTACATTTGTATTGTTTTTAATTGTTGCCTATTTCAGAGTGAGAAACGAGAGATACTGCGTAAGTTGAATGAAAATTTGAAGGTCCAGAACTGCACAGTGGAGCAGGCAATCCAGCTATCAGAAAATCCAAACATACAACAGCAGATGATGGTTCAACCTAAGAGAGACTTCTATGAGGAGGGAGTGCCCTCTGCAGGGGACAGGAAGAAGTGGGATGCTGGAATTCAACCTGACATCTCTTTAGCACAGCAGACCCTAGAGGAAACCTTCTTGGCCACATCTGGTGAGCCCTGTCAAAGAAGTACTTTTGATTAATCTATTCAGTATTTACTTAGCAAATTTCATATTCAGATAAAAAACACAAACGAGACTTATGAAACCATTTGTTTAAAAATAATTATCACAAATGTATTACTTTACTTTTTATCCATGTTTATTCATAAAAACAATTCCCTGAGTGTTCTAACTTAGCATTATGGTAAATGATATATAAATCTGATAATTTATGGTCTACGGCATTAAAACCTGGAATCTCTATCCAAGATACCAGATTCAGTATCCAGCTCAGCTGCTTCACCCAAATAATTCTGATGACAGAACCTGGACAGAGGAATCCAACACTTGACATTGCAGACAATGGCCAAGATTTATTTTAATATACCATAAACTCATTGCCTTGTGGAACAGGGTCAACCACCAGTTTTGGGACTGGGATCTCATTTATGCCATTTGGAGTTTTTGTTTACCTCCAAGCCCACATGATCTACTGTTGTATAATTTTGTTACCTGCTTTATCATTCTGTTAAGCTCTCTGTTGATGTTGTGAAGCATGCTATAGCAAACGGTTAATTGAAATAGAGTTTCTCTCTCACAGTATAATTCTGTAATATTAGTATTCTGCTTTGAGTAAAATGAAAAATTTTTCTAACAAACTTTGCTAGTCAGACAATGGATGTGAATAGGTTAGTGTGGAAAGCCGCAGGCTGTAATAGTACTTGACATCTACTGATTCTATGATTATTTAGTTGCTTGGATGGTTGACATAAAACTAATACATGAAATTAACATTTAATTACTTTACTGAATTCTATATATGAAGTTTCCACTTAGGAGACCATAATCTCCATTGTGTTAAAGTCAACAGATTCATTAAGTTAAGCCTGTTTGCAGATGTAATATTTACATTGGCTCAAGGTACAGCATTAATGCCTGTTGTATGTTTTTCTTGTGGTCCTTTCAAGTGTTTTTTAAATTGCATTTTCAATGTCTAACAAGTGTTCCAAGAATAATGTTTCATTAATTCTGGCAGTGATCCTAGGGTCCATAACTTCTGATTTGATATTGAAATTTGTTTTACCAAGTATTTTATTAACTGAATTAAATAGTGAACATAAAGGGATGATTTTTAATGAAAGTTTAAATTAAACTTAAATACTTGAACCGATGTTGTGAAATCCCTCACAATTTTTGTCATTATAGATAAGACCGTGGGAGAAGTCATTAAGCTTGATGCTTCAGATGGCCCAAGGCGAGCCTGGGGAAAGCACCCTGATAGCCATGTGCTGAAAGTGCTGGGAGAAGCCATACTGCAGCCACAGACTCTGTTCTTTGGAGAAACAAATGATGAAATTAATAGAAAGCGTAAATCTTTTTTTTATTTTCCATTTACTGAGCATCACTGTAATATTAATCACATATGAATAAAATTCTTTCAAAATCATCAGTAAAGATTGACAAATTAAAACACAAGAAAGACATTTTGAGTCAAGCAATCTTTTGCAAAAAAGTGTTCCATGATTTGCTTTGTCAGTAGAACTGTGTGGTTTCAAAATACACATGTATTACTTGGTTTGTTTCATTTTTGACCATGTTAGTACTGTATATGGACACATTTTTGTATGCCTTGACCAGAGATTAAGTATAGGAAATAACTTTTTGGTCTACTGTGTTATGTGACTTTTTAGTTTGTTTTATCCATTGTTCACATTGTTTTGGTTTAATTCTTTATCTATGCAAAGAGTACCAGGACCAAAATCAGTGTGCTTCTTTGCTTGCAGAAGGCTTTAAACCAGTTATAGAGAAGACCTGTGCTGTTGGAGATACTCTGGTGGGAAATAGCATAGGTGCTGCAATTGAGAATACTACTGCAACAAGAGAAAAAGAGAAAGAACAGGACAAACCCAAAGAAAAAACACCAACGGAACTGAATTTGTTACCTCAACTTATCTCTCCTCATGGGAATTTGGATGGTGAGTTGAGACACATTTTATAATGTGTGTTTGGGTAAAGACCATAAGAGTTGATAAGAGAATGTTTGGTATACTGTTGTTTGGTATTTGATATGGCTGCTATATCCAGCAGCCATATCACCCTGCAACTCACAACTGGCAACCCACTGAAGCTAAGCAGGTGTGAGCCTGGTCAGTACCTGGATGGGAGACCTCCTGGGAAAAACTTAGGTTGCTGCTGGAAGAGGTATTAGAGAGGCCTAATGTGGGTCCTAATGCCCCAGTATAGTGATGGGGACACTATACTGTAAACAGGTGCCGTCCTTCGGATGAGACGTAAAACCGAGGTCCTGACTCTCTGTGGTCATTAAAAATCCCAGGATGTTTCTTGAAAACAGTAGGGGTGTAACCCCGGCATCCTAGCCAAATATCCCATTGGCCCTTACCAATCATGGCCTCCTAATATTCCCCATCTATGAATTGGCTTCATTACTCTCTGCTCTCCTCCCCACTAATAGCTGATGTGTGGTGAGCGTTCTGGCGCACTATGGCTGCCGTCGCATCATCCAGGTGGATGCTGCACATTGGTGGTGGTGGAGGGGAGACCCCATTACCTGTAAAGCGCTTTGAGTGGAGTGTCCAGAAAAGCGCTATATAAGTGTAAGCAATTATTATTATTATATGAATTTTCACTTATCTGAGCATTTTGGAATTTGTACCTTGTAATTTTTATAAGAATGAAATTTCGCTAATCAGCACTTTGAAGTTTGAAAGTGACCTGTTTTGGCCAAGAACCATTTTAATTCAGCACTATAGAACAGCTGTTTGTTTCTGTGGGGGCGACAGGCATTGTGGTTAAGGTCGCCATGAGGCAGCAGTGCTTTGTTTACGATCACAGCAAAATCTTGTGCTCTCATTTTCAAAGTGTTTTTTTGTGTTTGTTTTGTAGTTGATGTTCATTATGGGGTCTTAAGGAAGAGAAACAAATTCCTTAGCGTAATAGTCAACAATAATATGCTCATTCTTCTAGCCTATCGGTTGGATAGCGATCCATTACGAAAGAATGAAAAATGTAAAAACAAATTATTTTACAGTTATAGTTGGCTTATTTGAATAGAACTGCATTGTTCACTAAGCTTGCTATAATGGTCTGTATGGTATTATATGTTTAGAGAGTTTTTGAGTGAACTTGTTTTCAATTTGGGACGGGTGGAATTTTCCCCATAAGAAATAATAGAATTTTTATTTTCGATTTACAATCTCCTGCCTTCCAAACAGATTTTCAGGAACAAATTAGGTTTGGATACCAGGTATGAGTAGACACAAATTTTAACTCAAGGTCACTTTTTCATCTCTCTAACCGAAGTATTTGTGGTTAACAATAGAAACAAAATTATTTTTTATCTTTCTCTTAATTTTATATTCCTTTTTCATGTTAACATCTCTTTCTGAAGATTTATACCCTGGTCTGATTTTGCAGAGCCAGAGGATTTGGAAGCAGAGGAGCTAGAGCAAGCTTCTGGCAAACCTGAGGCTGCAGAGTCCCTGAATGGTGTTATTAATGCTTGGCAGAATGAATCACTCAAGCTGAAGTATGTGTGACTGTAACTGTACATTGCACTTTTTTGTATATGTTTTTAAAGAAACATTGTATTCATTAAAAAAAGTGTATTCAGCAGAACATATCTGTGTTTATATATAACATTTATATGTAGCATATTTATAGCAGCAGTTCTCTCAAAATGCCCCTTTATTTTTTTAAGGGCTGTGGGCAGAGGTTTACTATTTTATTGTGTTATTCATTTCTGTATCTTTTTTCCTCATTGCAGTTTTTGAAAACACTGAACCAAATCAGATCTGTAACGAAGAATAAAAAGCTTCAATCTTTTCTTAATTGATAAAAAATGGTGATGGGGGTCTTCTTTGGATATAACAGTGCAGGTATGCTAAGGCTGAAGCAATTTATTGTTTGATTTGTTTCCTGTCAGGTCACAAGAAAGTAGTATTCCTCATGCTGAGTCGGGCAGTGAGGATGAAAAGACAGAAGACACCAAACAGACAGAGCTTACAGGTCAGCTTTCACTCCACTTGGCACTTTAGATGACAATATTTTGAAAGAATTCTAATTACTGTACATTTTTGTTTTATACTCTGAAATGATTGTGCTTTTCTTTCTGTGCCCACATATAATCAGATATTCGGCAATATACCATAGGTTGTCTAGTTGCCACAAATAAAAACTCTTTGAGCTTGGGTGAGATGTCCTTGGCCGTCCACTCCAAAACACATCTCACTAATCTCAGATCTTCAGATTACCTCTAATTAGTTTTGTTCCTTTAGTGAACTATGTTAATATCTTATAATGTATAATATCTTCTAGAACTATATAATATACCCGTATTGTATAATGTTATTTACACAATTTGCAAGCACAATGCTGTCTTGTGTAGGCAAAGGGGCAGCACCAACAAATAACAAACCACTTTCCTTTGCTTTATTTGGTCTCAACATTAACAAATGTTCTTTGAAAACATGAAAATCTCTTATGTAGTCTTGATTATTTTCATCAAACCTTTGCTTAGCGGGGAATGTGAGGTGATTTCTTGAACAGCACATCTTCAGGGTTTAAACGTCTGTAATGGTACAGTGAAGATATAAAACTACACGTGACAGAGAACTGACAGATTAATCCAGTAAAACAATTTGTTCCTACTGGAATAATGTCTTAATCTCTAAATCCAGATTGCTAACTATCCATGATATATGTTTGCATACACTTCTTTTCTTCAACACAATGTGGTGTTGTGAACATATTAAATTATGCAGCTCATGTTTTAAGCTGTTGCATGGTTAAATCAAGAAGCACATGTTTTGTTCCCTTTTTGGTTTATTAATGAAGCTGTATGATTAAAAAATAATGTTCTCAAATTACATTAATACACAGATGACAGCAAGGAGGAGAAAATATTTCAGACTCAAACAAGAAGTATTGTTGCCTTACTTTAGTGTATGTGAAAGCTTACAAACTTGGTTTACTTTTGTGGAGTTGATTATTATCAAAGTAGCTTAAAATATATATACAGATGCAGCCATTCAAAGTGCGGGGTACAAACCCGTACTGCACGCCACTACCTACATCATACCGCGGTACGTGATTGACTGGCCAAAATGACTGACAGGGGCACTCGTTGTGCATTGGTCAGTAGTGTAAAGATTTAATCATTTAATCTCTTTACTGTGCACGTTTTTAATCCGCTTAGTATTGAATATTTATATGGAATTTTACAACTAAAGGGAAATTAGTAGTAGCTGAGCATAAAAAGAAGAGGAGCATAACGCATCTGAAGGTCATAAACGATATTAATTTAGGAACATTTAACATTATGTAAACTGTATATTGCTGGTATTGATAGAAAAAATACACACCAGTATTTTGTTTCTCCCTAAACATTTTAAGCATCAAAGTCTTATATGTGGTTATTTCAGAAACGTTTTTACGTGCACCTTCTGACCACATTACTGTACGTTTATATACTTTGTGAAAATAAAGTTTTAATCTCCTCTGCGAATAAGCTCGTTATCGGAGTAAACAAAAGCATACTTTTAGAATCGGATTAATAGGGAATATAATATGGAATCGTGTATCTAAATAAATAACGATATAATTATATTCATGTAGTGTAGCACAAACAGTAGTATAAGACTTTCTATTGATGTGTGTATGGCTGTTTCACTGTTGTTCACATGACTGCATCTGTGGCGTGATGGCTTAAGCTTATGTGTCATAAGCCTTGCTTTGTGTTGTGAAACTGTTCTTTATTTTTTTAGGATTTTTTTAAGATAGCACTACAGGTAATACACTGGAATAGGGGGGGTCTTCTTCATGACTCAATAGCATTTCAAGCACAACATTCAAAATGCTGCAACCAAGTGTTTTACACACTAAGCAGGCCGTCTTAGCTTTCACTGTCATGATTTCTAATGTGAATCCCTTTCATAATGTTTTATTATTTCTGGTAGATAGCTCCATTGGACAGGCAATACGCTGGGATAGGGGGTGCTTCCAGTAATTCTGGGTTTCCTATGTTTTATTTCAGTTTCACATTGGTTCTGAAAGTTAACACTTATGCAAGACATACTGTTTTTTGGGCATGTTGAAACTGTTACTTAGCTTTCTTTGTGAGGGGAGTTATCCTGAGAAAAGATGTACTTTTCTTTGTTGTTTTCTTGATTTTCAAACATAGCTTTTATGCTATGCTGTGCAGTATGGGGTGGCTGTTTACTTATCAATAGTGCCTGGAATCTTAAACCATTAGAAGGGTTACAAACAACAGGGGGCCATTCACTCAATCTAGCTCTTGTAATGGTTAATATATTAATCTGAGGACCTTATCCTGCCTTTTTTTTAAAGAAGCCCAAGTAAAATAATCAAAAGCACAGTTGGACAGATGTTGAAGTTGACCCACAACCGGCTAAAGAACTGCGCCTTGCTGTCTGTATTAAACCTTGTTCACTCAGCACTTTAAAGTAAGTGTAAAGTGCTATGAAGAAGAATGAAGATACTCTCACATCTTGATGAAAGCTATAGTTTTTTAAATCTTTTATATGATGGGTGCTCCTACAATTAAAGGATCCAAAGTAACTAAAAGTTTCACAGCTCAAGGGCAAAGTATTCAGAGATTTTTCCAAAGCTATTTAAATCAAATTGCTTTTTTTATTCCTTTTTAGGAACATATTTATAGCAAACAAATTATGCCTAGGGATGTTTTTTTATAACAAGAAATTGTTGTGTCCGTACAACTGAAACACATTTTGGAGTACTGTCACAATGCTTTTCTGTTTTAATTATTCCAAACATTTCTGGCTCCAGCATGCCAAACAACATGGTCTTTAACATCATCCCTGAAGACATGGTCTTCCCCCCTTTGTTTTAATATTACTGGATAGAACACTGAATTGCATACCTATTTTATCAGTAAAATTGTCGCATCTGATTTCTATTGTTGCGATGGTTGTGCATGCATGAAATATGGAATACCGATTTAAAAAATATTTGATTTATCGATGAAACACTTCTGTGTTTCCTTTTTAGTATTGCTGTTGGATTCCTTTTTCCTAATTTACAGAACCAATGCTCCTGCAGATAAACCTATAATCCCTCCACTGAACTATGCTTTGTTTCTTTCAAATCTATCACCACATATCCTGCTTGCAAAACCTACCACTGTGACATTGTGCATACCATACCCTCATCAGACCAGTGTTTGCAAAATGTACATATCCAGGTATCTGAAAAAAAGGCTTCACATATCAAAGTAGGGTTGTGATGAGTCAGTGGGCGTGCTAGTGTGTAAAATCCTTGGTTACAGCATAATGAATATGGTTGTGCAAAAGCTATTGACTTGTGAAGAGCACCCCCCTATCCCCATGTACTGCCTGTCTAATGGTGCCGTATTAGAAAAAGTAAGGAAAAGTTTCACAACCCAAAGCAAGGTGTATAAGGTTAGGGGGTCTGCCTAGTGTGTAAAACACTTGGTTGCAGCATTGTGAATGTTGTGCTTGAAAAGCTATTGACATGTGAAGAGCACCCCCTGTCCCCATGTACTGCCTCTCTAATGGTGCTATATGGGAAAAAATAAAAAGTTTCACAACCCAAAGCAAGGTTGTAAAATGTGAGGGTGGATGTCTGGTGTGTAAAACACTTGGTTGCAGCACTGTGAATGTTGTACATCACAGGCCGGACAAACAGACACAAACACACACACCAGGGCCAGTTTTCCTGTAAGCCAATTAACCTAACAATATGTTTTGGAGTGCGAGAGGGAATCATATCACACATAAGGAGAAAAACCATGGAACCCAGAGAGATCACGCAAACTTCACACACACAGGATGGCAGGAATAGAACCGAGGGCCCCAGTGCTGCAAGATAGCAATGCTAACCACATCGCCACCATTAGAAATGGATGGATATCTTATCTTTCTAGTTCAAAGGTTGCGTGCATAATTCAATTTTGAGAGCCACTGAAACATCTGGTGCTACTGTTGTATTTATGAAAAAAATAATACAAAAAGCATACTAACAACTGTGCCATCCTATTCCTTAGTTAATACATTTTATTTTTATAAACAGTTAACATTGTTAGCAAAATATTTTGAATGATATTTTACCCTATATTTTCTTTAATTGTGTATTTAACTTATTTTCTGATAGTCCGATTTAATGTATATTTGAACAATAAAAATATATTTTTACAAGATGTGGGGAAAAGTGCAACAATTTATAACAGTGCTAAATTTATTAATGATTACTAATAGTTTATGCCAACACCTAACTTTCTTAATTAGATGTATTTAAAACAATGAACTAAGTGTAACATAGCATTCAGAAATACAATCGAGAATAATTGTTATACATTTTAGAAAAGTTTCATCTATGCATACACCACAAAACTAAAGACGATTAAAATCTGTAATCTTTCCACGTGTAATGACATTAGAAAGTACAATACGTTCCTGCTTTGTTTTAATGATGGTATCAAAAAGTAGTCTAAGTGGTGAGAAGCCTGTACTTGATGATAATTAAAGGACTTTAGAAGTCAAAGAAAATGATTTACATTGTTTAATTTTACACACTTAGTTATGAATGCAGATGCAATTGGTGCCATTCGATAGAACAGCCATTGTGGAATACTGAGCTCCGTGTCTCCTCCCTCTCTTGGTGCCGCTTCCCCCTCTGACAGAATGCAGTGGCTGGCACGCTATTTTCAGAGCCTCTGATTGGGGGGAAAAAAAGACCTGCTGATCTGTTCTACATACCAGGAAGAACTCAGAATGATTTTTTCTATTCGAAACGTGTGTTGCTTTTATGAAATTTGTGTATTTTAAACGTTTAATTAAGAAGTAAAAACCTTACAGTGTACACAGAGATTCTAAGCTGATCATGAGGAAGAAAAATCACCAAGTTTTTCACACATAAAAAGTGGTTATTAACTATCGAAGCCTGTTTTTATGGCTTTTAAAGTCATGCAATGTCTAAGCAAAAACACATCATTATATCTCATTTTTTATTTATTTTTTAAAAATTGAAAAAATAGTTTGCCCAGCCTAATTTTAAAGACCTACTTGTGAAACTTTTCAAAGCCTGTACATAAAACTATATACACAATACTGCTGAAAGCAGGAAAATTCATATTCTTTACTCAGCGGCTTATTAAAAACAACACACATGATGTTCAAACTAATTTTTTTACACAGAAGACTGACACAGCTTCGCGTTGTGAATCTCTTTTTCTAAGAAAACATTTGTCAGTCTGTCCATGGGGGGAAGGGGGACTGTCTTTCATTCAAAGGCTTGCCTATTCTATTTTGTAAATGTAGAGGGTGAGAAAAGACTTGTGAAACCGGTTTGTTTACAAGCAATGTAGGCACAGAGACTCAGTCTTTGTGGAGTGAAATTCGGTACAACCAGCCAGCCAGCACTTCAGCTGCAGCGCCAGGCGAATGCGCCACATTAATGTAGAGCTTTCGGGCTCACGTGGGTTTGCACGTGCACACTACATTTTGTGGTACCACTGTGTACTAACAGTACGAGCATGTTGTGATATTTAGAAATATTAAAAATGTCAATATAATGCCAATAATGTTAACTATTTTAGTTTTTCAAAGAAATGTTTATTAAAAGAAAACTCATGGCGACAGCTGGATTTGAACACCTGACCTCAGCCTTATAAGTCAGTCACTTAAGCCATCACGCCACAGATGCCGACATGTACTAAACAGTGAAACAGAAGTACACATATCAATGGAAATTCTTATACTACTGTTTGTGCAACAGTACTTGAATATAATTATATCGTTATTAATTTCTTTAGATTCGCAATTCCATATTATATTTCCTATTAATCAAATTCTAAAAGTATGCTTTCGTTTACTCCGATAACGAGTGTATTCGCAGAAAAGGTTAAAACAATCACTTTTCACAAAATATATAAACGTAAAGTAATATGGTCAGAAGTAGCACAAAAACGTTTCCAAAATAACCACATGTAAGACTTTGATGCTTAAAATGTTAGGGAGAAATGGAATACTGGTGTGTATTTCTTCTTTAAACTACCAAGACCAGCTATATACAGTACAGTTTACATACAGTAATAAGTTTATGTTCCTAAATTAATATATTTTATGAGCATGTGAAAGGCATGGTGAATCGGAGATTCTCAAGACTTACTTTGTATGATTGGAAACAAATGCGTGATCAGATCAACGAAATGCTGTGGTGTTACTTTTTGTCAATGAAAAAATAAAGTATTTTCGTTTACAAAGATGGTTACAATGTGGACCATGGTAATACTTTGACTTTACAGCTTGTCCAAGGTCATTCAATATTAATACTATTAGGAATATCTTTGGTAAAGACTTTGATGCATAAAATATTTCTGCATAATTAAAATATTTATAATAAAGGTGGTAGGTTGTGTACTTTTGTCCAACTGAGCAATCTTGCTTTCATAAAATATACCAACTTTTTAATGTATAATGATTAACATGCTGTAATACACAGTTTAAATTCAAAAGTCTAAAGCGTATACAACTTAAATTCTTAATTGAATACAGATTGTCCCTCAGCAGTGATCAGGATTCGAAACCAGGTGTTTTCTGGTGACAGCTCAAATGCTGTTCATGAGAGATTAAGCTTTATTAGCTCCACCTGGCGGTTTTACAAGGTGATTCTGGATACTATTAACATTATCTAATTTGCATATGGTATACCGCGGTATGACAGGAAATGAACGTACCCGGCTAGTTTTGAATGGCTGCATCTGTATGTATGCACTAATCTTAACATTCTAGACAAGATTTAAGTTCTAGCTGTGCCAACCCTTTTGTTATGCTTTATTCATATGTGCTATGATAAAAAAAACAAAGAATGTATATTGTAATCCACGAGCATATACAGTACAAAGTCAGAATCAGGGCAAACACTAGACGGGGAATGAGCCTAGTTTTGATTCAAACAATTAGTGCTGTGTCTGAAACTTTGTCTTTTCTACTGATAGCCAAAAGGGAGATCTGTGAGGAGAGCTCAGCATTGGAGCCCTTGTTACAGAAGGTGGCTTCCCCAGCACACAGAAGGGCAACAGCTCTGGCAATCCTGTCTGCACAATCATCACAAGAGGATTCTGTGACATCTCGGTCACGCTCTGTTTCACCAATTAAATCCAAAGACAAGGACTCTCTTCTCATTGGACTGTCAACAGGTTTGTTTGATGCCAATAACCCCAAGGTAAGACTTTACATCAAGGAATTTGCATAAAAGTGAAAATTAGTTCATATTGTAATTTGATGCTTCTGGCTTTCTAATGCGAAGTGGGGATACAGGCAGCCTCCAGAATGCTTTGCTTCATAGCTGGGCCGGTATTGTCCTTCGAGAGTTTGTAACTGTCCACCATTTAGTCCTAGACCTCTCAAAAAAAACTTTGCCATATTTTTATTTTAGGCTTTTACTGTGATAGCTGTGTTAGTATTAGAAGGGAGGAAAAAGGACAATCTTTTTTATATTTAAGATTGAATTTTCAGGGATTAAATTTGAACTACCCATTTTAGTCTTTAGGTGTGGCATTACAAATGTACCTAACTACATAACTGAATGTTCTAATTTGTGCTCTGTTTTATACATGTTATTTTTTTCCTTCACATACATTTCTTATGAGTATTTAATACTGTAAGGCATTTTAAAAACAGCAAATGCTACTCAATTCTTGTGTTATTATTTCCACTTATTATTCCCTCACAACTGAATTCTTCATTGACAAAATTCTTTGTACCCTAAAGTTAGACATATTTTTGTTCTGGAAAACTTTAAATGGCAACAATGATAGTTTAAAAGAGTTAATAGCTCTTAATAATTATGAGGGTACTTTAGCTTGGTTCAGGTGTTCTGTCTTGTTAGATTTTCTTGTAATTTTCTCCTGAGCATGTCAAAGAATTAAGGAACCTTTAGGGATAATGAGGAAAATCTCTGTTGTGCCAGAAATTGATCAGTTTATTATCTGTATACGTATAAGTATACATTATTTCTTCCAAGTTTCTTGAAAATTAATTACTTATTCTTATCAAAATTAAATCTGAAATAGTAGTTGTACACTCATAATAATGACTCATTGGACCCCATCTTTAATTTATTTTTTGTGCTTGGCCTGCACAAACAAAATGTAAGAATCCCTCACACCAGCCTAGACATTGTCTGTAAGTATTTATATGCTGTATTGCTAATGTTTTAGTTTCCGTTTCCAAGCTTAAACTCCAGAATATCACATAATTACAAATGAAAAAGAATTGGTTGCTTCAGTTTCATCAGTTAAGGATTTTGCCTAATTAAATTCCTGAGGCACAATTTACAGGTAATCACTAATCCCAGAATCTATTTAACTGTCCTTTCAGTCCTGTAGCATGACAAATGATATATTGTACATGTAAATGGTTGTGCATTTATTTTTGCCTTTTGTTGAACAAGAAACCTTGACTTCTGTTCTTTTCGGTACATTGGAGAGCTCCTTCAATGTAATGAATAATATCCCAAACTAGTATCCTCTGTATATTCTTAGAAGAGTACACAAGCCTTTTAGCTCTTGCAATTGAAGTAATACACATTATTTAATATTTTAAAAATGTTTGCATACCTTTATTTTAACGTGACTTGGCACTACACGCAGTTATCCTGTGTTGTCATATGGAGTATAATCTGAGAGATTAACGCAGATGTTGTCATCCATCGCTCTTCAGTCAGACATGTTCGGAACTTCAAACTCATGCTAGAAAAAGCCGATTTGCATGGAAACTTTAAACCAAAGAAGCTATTTTCATGACCACTCTGTGTATGATGTTGTATTTTTCTGTACCAACAAAGTTCCAAAAATTCACAGCAGATTGATGGTTGGTTAGTGTGCAGCAAAAGGTAGCCATACTCAGTTATACTTTGTGGCTTTACGTGGGGGTGTGTTCACTGTGGATTTAGAGCCCTGGCTTGAGGCTAGTGCATTGCCTTCACAACCACAGCTGTTCTGGCTAATTAATGACAAGCCGTAGCTGTGGGGGATCTTTAAGATACATTGAGCAGACCCCCAGAAGGGGAGGATCATTCCAGTGACAGTCCCGGAGGGGATTATGACCGAGCATAAGGCCGTCGTTTCTCCTTCATTTTTATTTTCTTTTTGCCTTTACCGCTGTGCATTTTAATGCTTTCTCATAAAATTGTTTTAAATTAGTAGTCAGAGAGTTGTCACAAAGTATTTGAAGGCTCCTTTTAAATGTTTAACTTTCAGATGCTGAGAACATGCTCCCTGCCAGATCTTAGCAAGCTTTTTAGAACTTTTGTTAATAACAATGCAGATGCTCCAGATGACAATATTGAAATAGATTACATTGAGGATGAACCAATCAAAGTTGAAGGACACTCAGACTCTGAAGACACGTGAGCATGATGTCATTTTATCCTTTTTGTTTCTTTTTAAGTCTTTTAAAAATATAAAAAAATTTAACATACAATAGTTAGCTTAAAATGGGCAGCATAGTTGTTTTTAGCATAAACATTTTTGAATAATTGATCTTTTGATTACAGTAAATAACTTACTGCAAGTTATTTACCACTCTAATGGGAGTAAATAACTTGCATTTTCCTGACTGGGTGTAGTTTGCTCAATATCCTTGTTATTACCAATCTATATTCTCATTAGAATAAACTTATTTTTAAATAATTCATTTGATATTATTTTTGTTACTGCATGTTTAATATATGAATATTTAGTTATTAAACATAAACAAGTAAAATGTATGTCTCCCTACATTGTGTTTGTCTTTTTTGAGACGTTTTGTAAGGTTGTTTTTCCTGCAATGATGCACAGCTTGCCAGTAAAAGATATTGTTTCTGATGTTTAATTCAGTATGTTTGAGGAGACATATGAAGACCTCCAAGAACTTCAGGCCTCCATGGAGAGACTGCTGCAGGAGCAGCCCAGTGAGGAGTATAGCGAGGAGGATGAGGTTGGATTAAATGCCAGCCCCTCTGAAGATGCATTGGATGGAGTGGAGATTTTGGCTAATGGGTTTGACAAGGAAGAAAATCACCCTAGCATTGGGAGTGAACTCAATGAAGAGTGGCATTCTGGTAAGAAAGTTATGAGTGGACCACATTTCCACTCATAACATTTTAACAAAGTAGCTCTGATCTCCATCAGAGTTTAAATTTGCTTACTAACAGTTTTAAATATTTAGTTTTTAAACCTTTCCCCCTTTATTTTAAGTGTTACATGGACAGACCATCAGCCTGGACCAATTTGAGGCCATAGCTACAGTTTTGTGCAAACGTTGGGCACCCCTGGCCAAATTATGTTTTGTTGATTTTCTAAGTGAAAAGAAGTTAACACAACCTGTGCAGCAAACAAACTTAAACTTGACATATTTCTGCAGATATTACTGTCTCACAGCCTCTTATCTCTGGGTCCATGTGACAGTGTGGGTGTGGGTTCTTGGTGGCTTTTCTGCTTTTGATCCAGTGTTTGACCGCTGGATCACGTGCCTCATTGGAAGGGAACCACAGCCTGAGAAAGTACAGTTACTTGCAGCTGACTGGGTCCCGTAGCTCCCAACAGAGGTTTCAGAAGAAGATGCACTCGGGTTTCAGGGGAAAATACGTTATGTCTCTCCACACCTCCTCGACTGCCTGGCACATTAGGTTTCTTGTGATGTACTCGTCAACCCATACAACCCCTACTTCCTCAGACAGACTTGAAGACCATTCCTTTGGGGTGCTCATCTGAGTGTCATCTCATTATCATGGGCATGTTTAGGTCAATGGCCTAGGCGATGGTGTCTAAAATGAGAGGTACGTTCCAGCTTACAGATCTCCCCTCCACCCTGCTCATCTGATCACAATTTATTGTGTCTGCAGTCCAGTAACTTGGACGTGATCTTGATGTCCATGCAGAGCATCATTATAAGCCTCCAGTTTTTTAGATCAGCCACATTCCCCCCCCCCCCCCTTTGAAGAGCAGGACTTGAAGGGTCCAACAGTCCCTCAGCCTAGATGAAGGAAGGGTGCAGTGCAAGTGTCACTCCTGGCTTTGCCTTTGAACAGTGGGTTCAAAGACCAGAGAGAAGTAGTTGCAGATGGAAGGACTGCGTTTTGTGTCTATTTTCCTGAGCCTGCCTATTTTTAAAAACCCTGTTATGTCATGACCAAATGAGGTGTCATAAATATACATACTGGAGCTGCATGTTTGCAATGTAATGTTGGGGAATTATTGGTGCTACTGTAATTTGAAGACTTCTTATGCTCAAAAACATGTGCCATGTATTTTTTAATTCCAAAGTCAATGTTTCAAATGCGATTAGGTAGTTTGACTCTTTTAGTAGCTAATTGATCCAAGGATCTCTAATTGCCATTTTGTCAAAGAATGGCTTTAACAATATTGCTGGGTAGCCTGTTCCATATTACTTCAACCTTTTTACTCAGATTAATTGAATCAGAATTCTAACAATCATCCATCCATTTTCTAAATTCTTTATCCACAGGGTCTCAGCAAGCAACAGGTATAGGGCAGGATATACACCAGAATGCCTGTACATGACAGGGCACACCCAAACAGAAACGGGCACACACTCAACTCCCAGTTTCATTTGTGGTGTCTATTATCAACTATTTGTTTAGATACTATTTTTAATAGTAACTATAATTGCTTACACTTATATAGCACTTTTCTGGACACTCCACTCAAAGTGCTTTACAGGTAATGGGGACTCCCCTCCACCACCACTAATGTGCAGCATCCACCTAGATGATGCAACACCAGCCATAGTGTGCCAGAACACTCACTACACATCAGTTATCAGTGGGAAAGAGAGCAGAGTAATGAAGCCAATTCATAGATGGGGATTATTAGGAGCCCATGATTGGTATGGGCCAATGGGAAATTTGGCTAGGATGCCGGGGTTGCACCCCTACTCCTTTTGAGAAACGCCCTGGGATTTTTAATGACCACAGAGAGTCAGGACCTCGTATTTATGTCTCATCTGAAGGACGGCGCTTGTTTACAGTATAGTGTCCCCGTCAACTATAATATATCTATAATTTAAGACCTCAATGTTCAGGAAAAGAATGTGATTGTTTAAATTGTTTCCTTGCTGTTTAGTCATGAACTAGCCTAGACACACACCTAAGGTTTTGCACATCAGGATTCAGAAACTTTTCTTTAACCTTTGTTAAATTTATGGACAAATAACCATTTGACATTTTTGACATTTTCTTACTGCCACAGCTCCAATTTATGAGTACTAAATATTCCTAAGCAAACATCTTCACTTCTTTACATATCTGGTATATCATCAGTCTTCATATACATCCAGTAAAATGTGAAAAGTAAAAACACCAGAACATCAGGATCCATGTCCAGTCAAAACAAATCCACACCATGCACCTCTGTACTCATGTCCCCTGACTTTGGTGTCATGTTGCATTGTTTGGCTGTATTTTGAAGTGTTAAAAGACCTAAGATGTACTGGTCTGATCTTCAATTACTGCTTGACATGAAACTACAACAAAACACTTTTTTTCCTGATCCTTTAGATATCACAGATGAAGAAGCAACAAGTGATGCTGATGATCAGGATAGTATATTCAGCCGCCTAGAAGAGCTGAGGTTCCATTTGGAGCAGGATATGGGATTTGAGAACTTCATTGAAGCCTATAATAAAATAAAGGTCTGTAGGAGGAAATAGAATTCCTTCACTGGCTTTTTTATGGAGTCAATTCAGTGAATAAAGATATTCAGGAACAAGTAGAGGTTAGTTCCACAGTAAAAAGTATGAAGAACTTTTCCACTTTGGCTATGATGTCTTCATTAGTTTATTGTTATTCATTTTACTTTCCAGTGTGAATTTAGCCTCTACTAGTTTCTTTACTACTTGCATGCAGATATGGTTCTTGACTGTAACCTCTTAAATATACGTTTATTGGAGTCATGATCTTTAACAGTACATTTTTTACAAAAGACACTTTGAATTAAAATAAGGTAAGTTTAATAAACAGGATGGCATACATGCACATTGGTAATTATAGTGCATATGTAAAGGTAATTGGAAGTTAGGGACCCAGTTTAAAAAACATAAGTTATAAATTGAAATTTTGTTCCCAAGATTTTTGTAAATGACTAAAAGAAAGCCCAGCCAAATACAATCCATTTTATTCCAATACATTTTTTAAATTTGTATTTGGTGTGCTAGGCTATTCATGAAGATGAAGATGAGAATATTGATATTGGGTCAGATATCATACTTAATATTCTGGGAAGTGAACACCAGCACTTGTACCCCAAGATTCTTCAGCTTGTTATGGCAGATGGAGCCTATCAGGAGGGTGAGTTTGAATGTTTTTATAATTCATTTATAAATATGATAATTCATTTTAAACCTTTAACATTTCTTTTTCTGTCTTGACATATTTCCACCAACAGGGCTTGCATGCGAGACAGCCTGGAAGGGTAACCAAGGGTAACACCCCTCATAACAAGACAACCTTGACTTTGTCTTTAGTGGTCATATTCTTGCGTAACAGATACGAATGGGCTTTCAAATCTGTTTGTTGCTGTAAATTAGTTTGGTTTTCTCCAAAATTACTTTTGACAAAGTTCAAGTTGGTAGCTGTGCCAGCATGCAAAGGAACAAGTAAAGGTTTATTCTGTGCTGAAAAGAGAAGAAAAGAAACACAACATTTCAGCTGTATAGCTTTCTTCAGATGTCAGGATGAGGTGTTAAATTTCAGGCAAAATACTTTAGGAATGATATTATAACGATGCCAATCTTAAAGGAAGAAGAGGTGGTTAGAAAGCTTAGTCTTGTGTTGTAACAGAAAGAATAAGGTTCTGGATCCCGAGATGAAGTTAAACAGATGAGTTTATTGCATGCAAGGAACAATTAAGCCGAAGTCTTGTTTCCCGCAAGAAACAACAAAACCGAAATATTGTTCAAGGTACCGGTACAACCTTTAGGTTTATATAGTCCTTCCTTGCTGCTTCTGACGTCATTCGTTATTATGGTAAAGGGGAGAGGTCAAGTGTTTCGCCAGTTTCCAGCCTTTTGGCCAAATGGTCAGGGATTAAGTCCCCAGGGATTTTTCTAGCTGGCATCTGGAATCCTTATCAGTTAACCCCCTTTCCTGCCATAAACTCCTGTTGCTTAGAAGTCTAATCTTCATGCCGAGAGGACTTAAAGTTGACAGCTGGTATCTTTCTTCACTTGGAACAGATCGCTGTGAAGAGATAGAATGCCGTTTTTGTGAAAGAAGGGGGCAGGTAGCCCAGGGAGGAGGGGAAGGAATACTAAGAGATCTAGAAAAAAGATTTAACAGAAGGCATAGTGGGTCACAGCAGAAGTGGGTTAAAATTCAAGTAGGTAGCACGGTCTGCATGCGTAGGCTGCAAAGGAACAAGTAAAGGTTTATTCCATGATGAAAAGAAACACAAAGTTGTTGCCATAGTGAACATTTAGCTGATGCCATGGTGGTTATGAGACAACCATTTGGAGGATATGTTGTGACAGTGGGCAGGCAGGTACATTCAGTATGCAAAAAACAATTTGTTGTGGTTAATGATAATGTTACTTATTTTGAGAACTCCATATTGTACTCGTGGTCAGAGCTCATCTGCAGGAAGTCACTAACATAGATTAGTCTGTCCAATCTGCCAAACTTAAACCATTTGAAAACTTCTGGAATCAGATGACTTGATTTTTTGAATGCAAACTTTGTAGAATTGTGTATTGAGCTTGTAAAGAATTCAGTACCTTTGCAGGCTAGCGAATACTATGCTACTGTATATTCGTGAAATGAAACTTCCAATGAAAGGAGAATATTTAAAAGAACAGTAATCTGTCGTTAAGGGAAGGGAGAATGTGTGATCCTAGCTGCAGAATAATTTTAGTTTCGGTGGTCTTTCTGATGTATGAGTTCTGTAAACCGTCTTTGAGAACACAGACGGAGAGATTAGAGTGGTCGTGGCCGTCAGAGGTGAAATGAGAAACAAATTTTTTTCAGCATGGAATAAACCTATTACTTGTTCCTTTGCAGCCTACGCATGCTGATGCAGCTACCCACCTGAACTGTTATACAGTATGTTGTTTGCTTTGGGTAGTTCATTGACAAAAGAACTATACCCATTCTTGTGTGTTATTGGGAGAAATAAGGTAATGTCTGACTAGCAGTAAATACACAATTGTGGGAATACAATACAAAATGTTAAATATTCTGAACATTTGGTGATATATACCAGTAGCTGGACAAGATCTATGGATCAGTTAACTAATATCAAGAAAGCTAAATTAAGTGAAATAGATGTTAACGTTGATTATCATACCAAAGTATTATGACAAAATACTACTTTTTAATATTACTTTTTTTTGGTTTAAAATAATTTGCAATACCTAAAAAACATATACTCCATAAACATTATTTGGCAAGACATTTTAAACAAGCTTGATGTACCAGAACGTTATATAAGTACCTGTATTATAAATATGTATATATAAATGGAACGGTTTTAATTAAGTCGATGCTAAAGGAAAATCTTTTTCGAGTTATAGAATTTAAGTTTTATACTGTTCAGACTTTTATCAGTTTTAAACTGTTTTACGTTATGTAAAATCTTAAATTAATATTGTTTTTCTTTACAAAAATAAAATGACTCCATTTGATATATATAAAAAAAGGGTTATTATACTGTGATCGCAATTTGCTTTCTTCAGGTTTACTTCTGCATTTAGATAATATATATGTTTTGCCTTAATGCAAATTTCAGCAATGTCTAAATTTGATTATAAAAATGTTTCACATATTGTATTGTAGTGGCTTTAAAACCATAGAGTATCATAATATATACACAGTATAGTTATACAGTATAAATCACACTACAGTTAATTGATCTACAGATGCAGCCATTCAAAGTGCGCGGTACAAACGTGTACCGCAGGCATTTCCCTACGTCATAATGCATCATAACGCGTCATACTGCAGTACGTGATTAGATGGCCAAAATGACCGACAAGGGCACTCGTGGTGCGTTGGTTGGTCGTGGAAAGATTTAATAATTTAATGTCTTTACTGTGCATGTTTTAACCTTCTTAGTATTTAATATTTATATGGAATTTTACAACTAAAGGGAATTTTTAGTAGCTGAGCATAAAAAGAAGAGGAGCATAATGCATCTGAAGGTCAGAAACGATATTAATTTAGGAACATAAACATATTACTGTATGTAAACTGTACTGTATATGGCTGGTTTTGGTAGTTTAATAAAAAAATTCACACCACTCTTCCGTTTTTCACTAAACATTTTAAGCATCAAAGTATTATAATATGGTCCCTAAATATGCAACTGCTGTATAGAATGAATTTTAATTAAAAAAAATGTATTTAACATGAAAATAAAGCTGTTTACGTTCCTCTGCCTGAGAATATAGTCCCTCGTTGCTACGCAACGCAGAAACACTGCCACAAGTAACTAGCAAAGAGAGGACATTAGCTAGCCAATATGATAAAAGAATAAATAACTTTTTTTGTTTATTTCTTTAGCACATTTTATTGAACATTTCCATCGATTGTACAAGCACTGAAAAATTGTTCAATCCTTTTGGCATTTTCTTTTACTATAACAGACATTAAAACTCCCTTGATTTTAACAGAGCGTTTCATAGTTTCTAACAATGAAAATGATTTAAACTGCGACACTTTTTTCATTCAACGAGAGCTCAAAATATCACAAGGATCAACAGAGATCAAGAAAGACAACAGAAAAAGATGTGTATAAGATACTGTACATGGGAATCCAAGTTTTTTTTTTATCTACGCTAAGAAGTAGTCTTTAAAATTTCTTCATCACACAGTGAAGTCGAAATTCCGGGATGTGCCTATATTAGAAAATATAGGACTTCTTCGAATGTATGTCAGGCAATCAGACTTCAGGACCGGAATTATCCGTTTTATAATGGGGAATATAGTGTAAAATCCTGGGTTCGGTAAAATGTTTTAGGCATTCATGTGAAGGGCAACAGAGCTTTCATTGGCCGATTATCATTATCATCATTATTATTAATAATAATATTTTATGAATATGTTTCAGATGTGAAGAACATAGATCCCCAATGCAATTTCAACCAAACCTGTTCCCACACACCCTGGCCCCACTGCCATTAGAATATACACAAAGCACTGAAATCTTTCGAGCTGACGATCGAGGTGTTTCCGTCAACACCTTTCAGCAGCACTCCTGTGCCCGGACGAGAGAAAGACACAAGACAAGCCCGCCAGCCCGAGAGAGAGCGAGAGAGAAAAGAGAGTAACACCAAGGGATGCTGAACCGGGGAACTATTTACATGGAAAACTGGCGATCTCCCCAGACTGTCTGCCCGTTTCACTGTTACCTGGATACCTCTTTATTTAGAACTCACTCTCCCCCCTGCCTGTCTGACTTTTTTTAATCCTTCTGTGCCCGGATTGCAGTGGGTAAGGAATTTTTCCAAGAAAAAAAGAAATTTCACCAGATCCTCTTCTCTTCTTGTGTCTAATTTTTAGTTTAGAAGGATTCAAGCAGGATTTTAGATTAAAGGCAGCGACCTCAATCAGAGTAGAAACCCTCACACCTGAAGAAGGCTTGCGTTTTCTCTCTTCTCTTTTAAACATGTGTACAATGCTGTAATACAGTTTAAAATAATTAAAAGTTTAAACAGTATCAACTAAACTCCATTAATATAAGTATCGAGTGGTATTAAATAAATACAACTTTTTAGTATAGATTACACTTTTCTTAAACTTATTTAAAAAATAAAATCGATTACAATCTAATCTTTCCACCTTTGATCCCAAAATCCCAAGAAAAATAAATCTAAACTGGGAGAAAGCTATGCTGAAAGTTTATTAAGATACTTAGAAGACAAATATAACAATTTATGTTGCATTTGTCTGATTGTGAATCAAAAAATAAATTTATTTAAACGCGCGTTTGCGATTTAAATCAAAATGGGGTAACTCTCTCTCTCTCTCTTATTATCAACACTAGTTCAATTGTGGCTCTTCTCAGATACTGTAGTTCGGCATTCAGGTAGATTGCCAGGCGAAATAAAAATAGGTTTCGATAGTTAATAACCACTTTTTATGCACGAAACACGGGTGATTTTTCTTCATCCTGATCAGTTTAGAAATCTGTGTACACTGTAAGGTTTTTATTTCCTAATTAAACTTTTAAAATGCGTGTTTCGAATAGAAACAGCATATGCTGTTGTCTTCCTGGTATGAAGAACAGATCAGCAGGTCTTTTTTCTCCAATCAGAAGGGTGTCAGATGGTGTCAGCCAATCACCATTCTAAAGC